GATCCATATACTTCTCCTTAGCCCTCAGCTTATTTAACATCCCTGGGCTTTAGTTTCAACTGTAAGTTTGGGGATTTGATGGGACAGAGCTCTAAGAATTCTGGGAACTCCAACATCTTAAGAAAGCAGGGAGACAATGCACAGCACAGACCATTTTCTCTAATGATCTCTAAAGCATCAGCCCAGAAAGGCCTTTGCATCATCACGTTGGAGCCATTTCCATCACTGGACAACATTCTGGAGCAATCTGCTCAAAGTGGGCCACACTTGGTAAGAAGGGGGAGTCATAGGACTGGGGGAATATAGAAATTCTATTTAAGTGGGCTTTACTGTGTACCTATTAGCACAGCAGCATACACAGAACTTACAAATAACCTAATCAACAGTAGTAAAGGTATTCTCAGAAAAAAACACTTAAAAAAATTTTTTTAACGTTTATTCATCTTTGAGAGACAGAGAGAGACAGAGCATGAGCAGGTAAAGGGCAGAGAGAAGGAGACACGGAATCCGAAGCAGTCTCCAGGCTCCGAGCCGTCAGCCCAGAGCCCGACGTGGGGCTTGAACTCATGAACTGCGAGATCATGACCTGCGCCGAAGTCAGACGCTCAACCGACTGAGCCACCCAGGTGCCCCGGAAAAAAACCTTTTTGAATATATGACCAAAAAATTTGGAGACCAGTGACCTAAGAAACTAGTTAGGTAGGCAGTTTGACCGCCAGAGAAGTTGTGGGTTGCAGTATCATGGTTAGCTTATCACAATCAGTGACTCCAATGTGGCGTTATGCCCTCAGGACAGTAAAACTAGACTTGATTTTATATCAAGTTAGGTTTTGATCAGAGATCCATTCCCAAATGTATTAATTTTCGGTTCGGTTTCTGCCATTACTCCCGTTTGTAGGCCAGGAGCCAGCAAGCTTCTCCTGCAAGGGGTCAGATAACCAACTTTTAGGCTTTGCCATATAGTTTGGCCATACAGCCTCTCCCATTGTAGCACTGAAGCAGCCTTACACAATACATAGAAGGAAAGGCATGACTGCGTGCCAATAAAACTTTATTTACAACACTGAAATTTGGATGGCATGTGACTTTCACGTGTTATAAAACAATCTTTTTATTGTTTTCAACCATTTAAGAATGTAAAAACTATTCCGAGCTTGCAGGGTCATTCGAAAACAGGTGATGCACTGGTTTTGACCCGTGGACTGTAGTTTGCCAATCCCTGTTTTAGACTACAAAATTTGTTTCTCAAGCTTGATTCCCTGTGGGTAGAACACCAAAAAACAGGGCACGTAAACCTTCGAGGGCAGAATGAACTTAGTTTCAGATCGATACCTCTGAACAAGAAACACACTCAAAAAATAAACTGTGGGAACACAAAGTTAAACAAAAACCCAGGATTAACGCGGGAACTGAGAGAAATGCGTACTTTATCTTGATCTTAGGCTCGAGATGAAAATGGGGGATGTTTTGGAGTCTTCCTGTTCTAACCAGCGGGCGCCTTCACGAAACACTCAACTTCCTACTATGGGTTCACGCTGTTACATTTCCTACCATCCTAATTTATTCTAGTTTGGATTTCTCTAGTAATTAAGGGCTCGCACATCAATCTTTGTTGAAAGCTTATCTCGCCTGGAACCAAAGGTGAGCATTTTGGTGTTTGTGTTGCTAAAAGAGGTCCCCTCCAGAGTTCCCCCAGGAAGGGATACTGAAGAAACGGGCGAGACGGGCTACCTTGAGGGGTGGAACAGCCCCCGAGGGGCTGCGGGGGCGAGTGGTAGGAGTGGAAGCAGGTTTCGCTGTGTGTTCTCGTCTGCCGATCGGCTTCGGTCCCGTGGTATTATTTAAGCGAGCGACTAACCCGAAACGTTAAGTCTCCCAGACTGATGTAGCAGCCACGTAGTCCTCCTACCCTTGCCTGATACTCTGTGGTAATTCTTAAATGAGTAGGGTTTGGTGATTTGGAACCAACCGCAAGGCACTTGCCTCTCCTAACCCAATAGTGCACTTGATGCCCGGCGTGGGTAGCTTTCAGGAGACGAAGCCAACGTGCCGAGAATCGGACTCTAAAAATAAGCATTTTGCACATTTCTTTTAGCCTCTTTTCTCTCCATAAAGGCCTCCACAGATGGCTTCTTTACATCATGCTCTCAAATGACTAGCTGTTAAATATTCATACTTATGGAAATGGTACTGTACATGCTCCAACCCCCCAGCCAGTTAACATTTGTATTTTCCGTATCTCAAGGCCCTTGTTCTTGGGCCTTGTCCTCTGTAGAACACAAACTCGTGCACACACACACACACACACACACACCCATCGTAGACACCAACTTTTTGCCTCTTTATGACTAATTTGCCTAGAATAGTTCTTTTATTGTTAAAGTTTGTTTTATTTATCTTGAGAAGGGGGTGGGGCAGAGAGAGAGAACCCCAAGTAGCGTCCATGCCATCAGCGTAGAGCTCAACTCCGGGCTTGAACTCATAAAACCGTGAGATCACGACCTGAGCCTAAGTCAAGAGTCGGATGCTTAACCGAATGAGCCCCCCGCGTGCCCCTCGGGCAGTAGTTCTTGACCAAGGGGAGATCCTGCCCCTCAGAGGACATTTGGCCACGTCTGGAGACACCTGGGGCTGTCGCAACCGGGAGGACAGCAGCGCGTACCACTGGCATCTCATGCGTTAGGACCAGGGATGCTGCTGCACTTCCCACGACAACAAACGGGACAGCACCTCACGAAGAATGGCCCGGCCCAAATGTCAATAGCGTGAAGGCCCAGGGTCCCACGGTGAGGCTGAAAGCAGACTTGAAAACACCGACGGGGAACAAAGTCCAAGCAAACTGGAACTAAAAACTCGGGGATGGTGGAGGCGTCCAATGAAGGTCAGGTCTCTTAATGTCTTACTCAGGTTAATACTAAGGTTATACCTTTAAGGGGCGCCTGGGTGGCTCAGTCAGTTAAGCGCTTGACTTCGGCTCAGGTCATGATCTCATGGTTCCTGAGTTCGAGCCCCGAGCGGGACTCTGTGCCAGCAGCTCAGAGCCTGGAGCACGCTTTGGGTTTTGTCTCCCTCTAGTCTCTGCCCCTCCCTCACTCACACTCTGTGTTTCTCAAATAAATAAATAAATACATGTAAAAAATTTTTTTTAAAGTCCCGTTTCAGTCTTTAAGCTCAGCTTACAAATATTTTATCTTCTATTTTTAAAAGATTTTTTTTTAATGTTTTTTTCAACGTTTTTATTTATTTTTTTTTGGGACAGAGAGAGACAGAGCATGAACGGGGGAGGGGCAGAGAGAGAGGGAGACACAGAATCGGAAACAGCCTCCAGGCTCCGAGCCATCAGCCCAGAGCCTGACGCGGGGCTCGAACTCACGGACCGCGAGATCGTGACCTGGCTGAAGTCGGACGCTCAACCGACTGCGCTACCCAGGCGCCCCAAAAGATTTTTATTTTTTAAGTAATCTCTATGCCCAATGTGGGGCTCAGACCTACAACCCTGAGATCAAGAGTCGCATGCTCTACTGACTGAGCCGGCCAGGTGCCCCCTCAACTTACACGTATTTTAATAAAATTTTAGTTAAAATGTAGAACACTCCCTTTCACTCATTCCATTAATACTCAATTATCTCACATATTTGACAGATTAAATCCCCCTAAACATTAACACCATTTACAAACTTGATTCAATTCCCTCAAGGATTTCAAGCTACAAATTGAGATGGTTCTCTTAAGCATTTCAAACCCCACAAAGACTCACAAATAAGCTGTATTCCAAACATTAAAAAAAAAAAAAAAAGTCCATCCACGCGTTCCCACCCTGCCTCCCGCTGCCTTTCTCCAGGACAACAGTGCTGGCTCCTGGCCCAGGCCACCTAGGCTGGACGGGAGCCCACCCCGCGCCGGCTCCCAGATCTGCGCTGGTCTCATCTGTAAAGAGGGAGGGAGGGACTCCAGCCTCCCAGGGAAGGTGGCTCATCTTTCCATGGTGTCCTCTCATCTGTCCATTCCCTGTTCTCTGGCTTCCCAAGGCCAGCGCAAGACTGGGCCTCCTGGCCGATCCTTCTCAAGAGCTCCAGAGCTCAGCGGGAGCACAATACTGCGGCGCACCGGCCTCCACCCGTCCCAGCTTCTCCGGTCACTCACCTCCCGGGCCTCCCCTGCTCGGGCACACGTGAGCATTCCTGCTGACCGCAGGAATCTCCCGTGCTCGCTCGTCTGCTGTCTCGACAGTAGAGGAAGTACCCGCGAGGAATCACCCGTGGGGACAGCATGTGACCTGATGCCAGACAGGCTTCTTCTTAAACTCTTACTAAATACAGGCACCAACCCCCCCAAATTGGAAACTGAACACCTTTCACAGCTCACGAGCCAAGTAACTTCACCTGAGAACGAGGGAGGGACTGAAGACCAGGGAAATGAAGACAGAGAACACCCCAAAGCCACCGGCATACACTAGGCACTCCGTATTCCCGGATAGTTTTCTACATCAAACATTTTCAGTTTTTTCAGAAGCAGAGCTCGGATCGTGGACTGGGTGGCTCAACGCCAGGAATGAATGATTTTAAACAAGAGCCTCGTGCCTGCCTCCACGTCCTCCGATGCTGGCGGCCACCGTTCTGTTCTGTGGCATCGCTCAGGAAAGACACTCAAGAGGGGAGGCCTCAGGAGCCGCGGGAGGCCGGAGGACCCCAGCCCAGGCCCTACCGCACTGTCCGCGGGTGCGGCGGTGTGCACGCTTCTCGCCCCAAAGAGTGCCGGCTTCTGGGGCGCCTGGGTGGGTGTCGGTTAAGTGATCGACTCTTGATTTTGGCTCAGGTCATGATCTCACGGTTCATGGATCGAGCCCCACGCCAGGCTCTGGGCTGACCTGCTTGGGGCTGACTCCCAAGCAGGCTCCACTTGGGAGTCTCTGCCCCACCCCCACTCTCTCCCTCTCAAAATAAACAAACTTAAGAGGTGCTCGGCACCCAGATAAAGAACACACAGAGTGGGAAAAAGTGTATTAGCCAGTTTAATTTATTTAAGAATCTTACAAAAAAAGAAAACAAAACAAAAACCACAACAACAAAAAACTAAATACAGAATTGGTTATGCTTCATGGTTGATCGTTTTTTACTTGCGAGGGTAAACCTCGCTAAATGCAGCCGACACATTTTTATTGCATGAGACCCAATGTTTAAAGTTACACATCAAAATGGTTGGAACAGTCATTTCTGGACACTCGGTACTGTTTTCATCACGGAAGGCTGAACGGAGCAGTGCAGTATCATCAGAACAGTGCGTACCCTTCGTACACTGACAGACATTCAAGACAGAGTAGCAATATAAAAAGGGAGATTTAAAAAAAGAGAACCAAATAAAAACAACCAAGAGTTTACATCCACCTCTGTTTTCAAATTGTCTTTGGATTCCATCAGACGTTGTCTCAAGATGCACCAAGTCAGATCGGTAAAGGAGGAAGATCTATGCCTACGTATAAAAGTATCCTTTGCTCAGCGGAGGTAGAACCTGGCAAAAGTTTTATTGCAGAGATACAGCGGCGTACCTCTTCCCACCTCTCATGGTTGATGGTAGATACAAGTGGTTATTGAAAAATAATTATCAGTAGTTTGCAAATTCAGTATAAACCGTGAACAGGATGAGTTTTTTCTAATGGCGGTGAGACTGCAGATGTGCTACGTAGAAAAAAAGCTCTCTGCCCCCTAAAGGGGAAGTCAGAAAGGAGGCTCAAGCTTCTATCCTCTTCAGTGCCACAAATACTGTCATAGCAAGAGAGGCCCTTGGGGCGGAGGTGGGGAGGGGAGGCGGAAGGACGGATGGGGTGTCCTCACTGAGGGGCCTGTGGACTGACCCTCGGGCCCGGAGGCGGCCCGAACTGCCAGTAGCAAAGAGAACGGGGCTGGCGCCGAGGGTCGCCCCTCGGCACTGCTGCGCACAAGCTCAACCACTCCTCGGGCGCCAGAGGAAGGGGGAGGACGGGGCGGGTTTGGGCCGGGATTCCCACTGGAGCTCATCTCTGACAGGGCCTGACTCAGGACACGCTAGGTTCCCGAGACTTACCTATCTAAATGCAAACAACTTCTCAGTTTTCGGCAAGTGTACCAAGTTCAGTAGTGGTGAGTGGAACATGTATGTGAGGGAAAAGGCCCAAGAAATGCCCACGGCAATCCTTCCTCAAAGTTACAGGGGAACATTTCCTTAAAGGTGCAAAACCTTTACATAAAAACCCAATGGTTGCCTCCCGTCTGATGATTCCCACCACTTTCACGAGCCAGCCCAGGGTCTTCCCTATTGGCAACGCTAACTGTCAAGAGGGCCTTAATCTGGCTCGGCACTGGATCTGTGGCCGATCCAGTCAAGGTCAATGCCCCAGTAGCAGTCCACTGGTGGTGCGAGCAGCTCAGGGGATCCTGCTGGCCAGTCCGGCCACAGTTCACTGTCTGCTTTACCCTCAGCGCAGAATCAACCTATGGGCCGAAGGCTCGCGTGAAGCCCCCACAGCAGCTGTGTTGCCCTCTCTGGGAGGACAACGGTTCCTGACAGAACATTCTTCAGCGTTACCTGTCCAAACAGAGACCCACGTGTACCGGGCCGGTCTCCCCGTCTGCTCTTAATATCCTTAACAGGTGAGAGCAGAGGCAGATTACCTGTGCTGCCTGCAAAATAACTGCCTGATTATTTTTTCCAGGTTAATGGTAGAGGCCTGACTTGTTTAATTCAAGAAACAAAAACAAAAACACAGAAACCCTGCGGCAGCGGGCCACAAACCAAGGTTCAGATCTGCAAGATTTTCTTCTCAGCTGGAAAGCCACACAGATGAAGGATTTGGTACGGGCCTGAAGAATGGAAAGGGTAGGAGCAAGTCAGGTTACCGAAGAGCTACGTTTGATCCCAAATGCACTGAAGAAGTTAGAGGAGCTTAAAGAAGTCTTGGGAAGAAATGTTTTTTATGTGAAAACATCAGGCTCACTACAGCTTCCAAAGAGCAACATAAACAAGCATAACTAGTCATATAATGACAGTATCAGAAATTGCACTCAAGTACATTCCCCCCAATACAATGCATTGCACACAGTAAAAATTTGTAATAAAAATGCAAAACACAATCAGGCATGTTGAAAAATATTAACACAAAACAGACATAGGAATTCTATAGCCAAGATGCAAAACTGAATCCTAAAATATATGAACAAATTCAGCTAAGAAGTTTTTCATACTTTTATATATATATATATATATAAAAAATTATAAGATGCCCCGTATGGGAAGTCAAGAAAAGAATAAATAGGATCGAAGGGAGGGGGGAAAGAGAAAGAAAGAGTGGGTAGGGTCCCAATTTACAAGAAATATTTACATTCAGAATTCAAAAGAACTCAGCATTTCTATATATACACATTTATGTACATATATATAAGTACAGCATAAAATCAGAAGGTGGGTTTTGGGATTTCACCTCAAGTACTCAGAAAGAAATTACTAGCTAGCTTGAGTTGCAGGTATCTATTTAGTTGAGTTTCCTTCACTTACATGCCCCTTAAAAGACACCGCATTTGTATCGGATAATTGGCATCCCATGAGGAATTTTCACAAATGGGTTCTGCTCGCGGCTATCGCCACAACGGGGACTGCTTGCCTCATTCCAGCAGCAAAGTGTGCACGGCCCTGTGCGTGGGTTTTGTGGTTAGCCAGGGAGACCCCGGACACAGGAGGGGGAATCAACAAATGCCCATCGTCACAGCGGTTGCCTTTGCCACTGGGATGCCTGAACTAACCAGACATCTGGCTAACTGGATCCCGGCCTAACGGCGACTCTTACGTAGCACCATTCTTAGAAGCTATCAAATATCACCCAGGTAACGTTTTTAAAATAAGAGTATTTAGACAGGGACCTTCCTCTTAACATCTTACCAAGAACAGGACTGAAAGGGAAAATACTTTTCGTCTCTCTTTCGTGAATTGCGATGCACCGATCATTTGTAATCTGCCGCTTTTTGCCCTCATGCTAACTGGGAAGTAGAAGGGGTAGGGGGCAAGGGTTCCCGTTACACAACTGTTAAGTGCTGTGCTGGTCATGCCTGTTAGAAGTTCTAATAGCATCACACGGAGGCTAGCAGAAGAATGCCCCAGAGACTACAGGCACAAAATCGCGCCTCTAAAATGTTATATTCCCCTGGAACTTGGTACTCTAGAACTTTTATCTTCACAGATAAAGCACACTAAAATGAAAAGGGTTATTGTTGCAGCTCAAAAAAAAGTCTCAAGTGCTAATTAACTGGACTGGAACAAATATATGTACACAAACACACACTACTACATTGCTTTGGATGCAAGTTCTTGCTAACTTATATACAGATGTAAAGAAAAGGTATTGAAGACTGTATCTGCAACATAGCAGCAAAAAGGGAAAATTGCTTAGGATATTTACTTTTTGATCAAGTTGTGTTTAAAGACATACTTTGTTAATACTTGTAGGACTTTACACATCATTGATCCCTATCTGGGTAATCTCACTAAACTGCAGATAAAGACCTTGTGGTGTGGAGGTTGCTAGATTAGGGGAACACTAATTCCCCCCAAGATACCATCTGAGCGGCTCTGGACTCAGGAAGTGAGTGGTTTTCAGCACAATCGACACTGTAAACTCTGAAAACGCTAACATGATTTACAATCAAATCTTTGTGCTCAGAGCCATATTGCTAAAAAGGGAGGGAGGAAAGGCATTGCAGGGGCCAAATGGACTCGCATCAGGTTCAGCAAGGCCCTGGGGTCAGACGTGGCATTCAGATCCTGAAACACACGGAGCCGTTTTATAGAAGTCAGCTGTTGTTAAGACTTGGGTTTTTAACAGAGGGGGACCCTGAATGCTGGCCAACCTGAACGTGCTGGCTTAGATGAGGATGAGGGCACAGTGTGAAGGTCGTACATTCAACCTCCAGAGAGGGGGTGAGCAGCGGACTCATGGTGTCCTGATGGGAGGAGCACAGGCGTGTGGCACCTCAGCGCCCACCCCCCTTACACCAGTTGCCTTTCTGAGGTCTCCTTTCAGACTTTTCAGAGGCCTTATTTCTGGACCTTATTTTTAAAAGTGAAACAATGCTGCTCCTCCAAGAACAGAACACGCCTATGCCCTTTTGTATCAAGACAGCTATTCAAAGAGCCAACACCACATCAGGAATCGTGGGGGTCAACTGACCACATTCGTCTCCCCGGAGGGAGCAGGCTTGTCAGGGTTCGGTCCCCGTCCCCAACTCTACTTCACGTTAGTGCACGGATGGATGCCGAGCGGGCTACCGGATTAAAACAGAGGAACTAACTGGGAAGTTCTGCTGCAGGTGGGACGGTCTGCCCTTGGCTGCCAGCTGGGTCCAGCGGCCCTGACAAAGAACACTGGTTGATATTCACATGGATCACTGCCTGAGATAGAAAGCCTAGACTGAGGATAAAAGTTGCATCCACTTGGCAACACATGCCAAAGAACAGAAATGATTCTCGATGTGTTCTTTCACGTATCAAGAATAAATAAATCCAAAGGAAACGTACGGTAAACTTGACGTAAGCAAACTCGGCCTTAAAGAAACACAGGAAGATGAAAGCCCTAGCCATCACCGAACAGACATCTTGCCTGATTCTGCAAGAAGTTTCAAAAGTGACAAAGGAGAACAATTCAACTTGAGAAACATTCAAAACGACTATCGCTACACCCCTTTCTCGACACCATCTCAGTTTTGAGGGGTAGGTTTTAAGCCCAAAAAGGCTGCCTGGAGTGCCGCGTAACACGCCAGTTCTGCAGAATCCCCGTCACAGACTCTGCCTCTGAAGGTGGTGAGGGCCTAAGCAAGAGTCCACTTCTGGTTAGTAGAACAACTTTTTATTTGACATCTACAAGACTGTGGTATCTTGCAGCTTTTGACCAGGTTTATACAATCTCAATTTTTCAATAGTGCAACCTGTGCAGGCAAAACAAAGGGAAAGGAAAACAAAAGGAAACAAAAAAACCCAATTGTCCCCTCACTTGTTTCATAAACATCTATTATAGGCGAAACAAAACTTACCCATATTATAGATAAGTGTCTATTCACATTTGTACATTACCATTTTTAACAGCTTGAGATAAACTCTACAATGTCTTACAACACATTAAACGATATTCAAGTTACTGGGTAACAACAATAACAACAAGAAATAAACATACAGCAGAAGCCTCAAGTGTTTCCTCATTGTCTAGTTTACAGCTCAAGTACGGTTTCCTTTTTTATGAGTGACAAATTAAGATAATGGAGTAAAAAAAGATTGTTTGCAAGATGGAAGCCGATTTGTACTTCTTTCTAAAACGATCTTTAAGTTAAGGAAAATGTAGTTTTAAGAAAAGCAGGCTTGTAGCCATTTTTGCAGCACACATTAGGAATACTATTAATACATTAAAATTAACTTTCAGAGTTTTACCACCAAAAAAATGTATATACTCATTACCTTGACAAGAAACCTGGGGCAGGGAGAAGAGGGTGAGGGGAATCCGCCGGGTGAGAAGCAATACCCAGGTATAAACACTATAAAAATGCAATAACCAATGCTGTACATCTACAAATGTTTCTCTCCGTTACTTGACTTGTTTTCATCTTGTTTACGCATGCTTTCAAAGACATGCACTGTCAGAACAAAAACTAAAAAAGAACCCGAATGCATGATATGCAACCTTTCATTTCATGCTTTAATAAACCTATTGTTTAATAAGTTGGAAAAAGAAACCAATATATATTTTCTATATTTATAGACTCAAAACACATGCATCTGGGGATAAGTCCCACAGCAATTGCATGGATGTACTGCGTTAACCCTGAGCACTGTGTAACATAAAAGTAAAGCCAGTTTGGGAAGTTCCAAGCATTTTTAAACCAATTGTGGTTTGTAGCCTTTAACAAACTCACAAACAAACAGACACACGCACGCATACATACCCCTCTGCTCACCCAAAGTAAAAGCATATGGGAAGTACCATGGGAAAAGCAAAGGAAAGACATATGTACCACCATCGGCACTGCTGATTTTCAGTTTTGCTATCTATTCCAGGTTTGTCCTTATTCCCAAAAAAATTAACTAGAGAGAGCACAACTGAAAAAAATTATAATTCTTTGGAAACTGTCCCTGATTTTTATGCAAATGATATGCTTCAACAGCATTTCAGATACATCCATGTTGAAACCTGTCTGTTCTTAAGCGTTGCTCAAGTTGGCGATGCTCTGCGGGTGACGCTGCTGCCAGAGCTGTTTCTGTTGGACCGCAAGCTGTTGAGACTGGTCTGAAGTTGACAGGAGATTTACAAGAGGAGACACACAATTTGCAGGAATGATCAAACCTGCAATTAGAAACAAGAACTTATCAAGGCTATATCCAAGAGAAATCATACTGTGTTTTACAGCTGCACAGCACATTCCAAATGAAGCATAACATTAAGTGTAACAAATAAGACTCCACCCAAACACTAAACGAATACTTGAGAACTGAAACTGCCCCCTCAGAAGTAACCCAATTCCTCAGCAGCATTACTCGCAGAGACCTAAGCATATGCAAAGTCCACAGTAACACTGACTTCTCGGTGGAGGATTGGAAAATGGACTATAGTGTCTCTCTATCTACTGTCTTTGCAGCTCCACAAATGCAGGCGAACACGACCTTCTTTGGGCAGGTATTAATGGACCAACAAGGCTACAGAATAGTGGATGTGAATTCAACTGCTTAGTGAAGCAGGTAATTTCCAAGTGGGCACGCTACAGGCGTTAGCAAACTGTGGAAAGTATACGCCCTCGGTAAAGGAACTTTAACTCCTCCTATGTGGGAACAGGGGCTAGATGTTCCACATAAACTGTGTGTGTGTGCACGCGTGTGCGCATGCATGCATGTGGTTTTTGAGAAAACAAAACCCAGGCTTTTGATTTTTAAATGTTGGCCAACTAATTCAAATGCAGACTCGCAAAAACCAAAACTATCAAGAGGGTCAAAAAAAAATAAAAAAAGGTCATGGACTGACTCTGGCCCATGGGCTGCCAACCTGCAGCCCACAATAAAAAGAAGGTCGTCGGAAATGCAACAAACACGAAACCACAGGCCAAAGTGCAGTAACGATGAATTCCTGCGAGGCCTGCCATTTAGAGGATGGTGGGAACAGCTGCCCGGTCTGCCCGTGCTCTCTGCTAAAACTCCAGTCCCTCCTCTGTGCAGTGACTGTAGTTCCAGTCTCAATTTGGCTCAGTGACTGGAAACGGGTAGACTTCAGAGGATCCTGGGCAAGAGGCTGGGCTCGGTCTTTATACCACAGCCTGCACAGACAGCGACAGTGAGGAAGGGGAGCAAGAACAGCTGAGAGCGGCCTAAAATAAATGACATTGTAACTTCAGCTAGAATCAACAGTGCCCATTCAAAGGTTTAACTTCCGTTCAACCTTTTAAGAGCATATAAAACAAGCTCTCCCCCATTACTGGGAGAGATACTGATTCTAAAACGTTAGAAGCAAAATAAAAAAAGAATAGGATCTGATTTTTCCGGATAGCTCAAACCCCCCAAAATTAGACTCACCTACAATCCGTTGTCCATCCTCTGTTCTCAGTCGAACAATCTGCATTTTCACATTTGTGCCACTGACAGATGCTAGAACACCCTCAACCTTTGTCCAGACACTCAGTACGGAGCCACATAATACGTAGTATGTGCGGCAACGAAGACCTATTTCACAAACTAATCCCAAGCTTGCCTTTTTACAGTTGCCACGCCTAGGAAAAATAGGGGAAAACATATACGTATACACATACACGCACGTGAACAGCTAGCAAAGTCTACCTAGGTTTCAAATGGAAGATGTCCTAGTCCAATTTGCCTTTCTTTATTGACAGTTTCTTTGATTACGCTCTTATTGACATATTGGATTATCCTGTCCAATGTAAGGTGTCATTACTGGTTTGTTAAGTTTCTAAAATTTGTTTTAGAAAATAAGATTTCTGGGGCCTGACTCCCAGTTAAAAGGGTTTATTTACTGGGTTTGATATCCATTTAAACATTTGTCTTTTGAAAAATTTTTTTCATTTACATCCAAGTTAGTGAGCATATACCGCAATAATAATTTCAGCAGATTCCAGTGATTCATCCCCTATGTGTAACATCCAGTGCTCATCCTAACAAGTGTCTTCCTTAATGGCCCTTGCCCATTTAGCCCATCCCCCCACCCACAACCCCTCCAGTAAACATCTGTCACTTTAACATCTGTTAGTTTACTATACTGACGCTAGCTTATAAAATAATTCTGCCAGTTACTTCTAAAGTATTGAACAACCAATATATTATAAATCATGTCACTGAGAAAGGCCTCAGCAAACCAAAAGAATGGAACTATTAAATTTTTTTTAAACTGTAAGAAAAAGAAGACATGGTTCATAAAATTATACAATTTATAAAATTTTTAAACTTATAAATTTATATAATTCCTCAATAAAATTATATTTTTAATAGTAATTCAAGAGGATACACAGTAGTATTGGGCACTTGTCTTGCTAATGCTCAAAGCAAATGTTTTAGAGAGGACTACTGTAAGTTAACTTTAAAAATATTTTATCTTGGGGCGCCTGGGTGGCGCAGTCGGTTAAGCGTCCGACTTCAGCCAGGTCACGATCTCGCGGTCCGTGAGTTCGAGCCCCGTGTCGGGCTCTGGGCTGATGGCTCAGAGCCTGGAGCCTGTTTCCGATTCTGTGTCTCCCTCTCTCTCTGCCCCTCCCCTGTTCATGCTCTGTCTCTCTCTGTCCCAAAAATAAATAATAAAAAAAAAAACGTTGAAAAAAAAAATTAAAAATATTTTATCTTGAAAGATTTTCCTAATTTCCAAAACACTAATTTGCTCTCAAAATGAAAACAAAAAACATTGCTCATATCAAATTTATCTTCCTACATGTCTTTTTTTTTTTTTAATTTTTTTTCAACGTTTATTTATTTTTGGGACAGAGAGAGACAGAGCATGAACGGGGGAGGGGCAGAGAGAGAGGGAGACACAGAATCGGAAACAGGCTCCAGGCTCTGAGCCATCAGCCCAGAGCCTGACGCGGGGCTCGAACTCCCAGACCGCGAGATCGTGACCTGGCTGAAGTCGGACGCTTAACCGACTGCGCCACCCAGGCGCCCCTCTTCCTACATGTCTTAAAAGAAAAATAAACCAGCTAAAATTCATCCATGTCCTGTATTCCTTTTCATAAAATGGGCCAGATACCCCATTGTCTACTTAATGGGTGAGGAAACAGTGGGTAAGGAAATAGGGGAACCATAATGTGCAGGGTATTACGTGCCCTCCACACCTACAGCCTCAGCTGAAGTGGACACTGTAAGTTAGGGGATGACACAGTGACTTGAAAGAACACACCTCCAGCCAGCCTAGTGGCACAGTAGGACCACTTCCAGGGCTCAACAACAGTCTTCTGGTGCTGTCAGCAACTCTAATTTCCTAGAAGTTTCCTAGCCTTAAAAATGAAAAGTGATTTGGGATGCCAGTACCTTTTTTTTTTTTTTTTTTTTAAAGAGAGAAATAAATAAACAAACAAATAAATGAAGGGAAGGAAGGAGAGGAGAGGGAGAAAAAGTCAGCTTTAACAAGGAGGATAGACAAGTCCATACTGCCAGACTGCAGCTGGCCGGAAGTAACAAAGCACTGGTGAAGAACACAGGGGACACCTGAACAGCGTGTGGTCCACAGACATACAAGCAATTCTAACTGAAGAATGACACCTAACATCAGATAATCTGTTCACGGACTTCGAGAGACAGACAACTAAAGAGCAAACGTGTGTTTCAATTAAGTCTTGATTACATTTTGGAAAATACGGTGAGAAACATGAAATACTAACCAATAAGCATGAGTACAAGTGTCTGCAGATGAATTATACTGATCTAACCAGTGGATCAGGGCATCATCTGAGACTACCTGTGAAAATAAGACAAAAATTCCATTGAAACAGGATTGTTTTAAACAAGCTGGTTGCCTTCCTATGTTCTCTAAAGCCAATTTACAATCCTCTCTATACAGAAAATCTGGCCCATTACTAGCTGCATTTGAGCGCCCTTCATAAAATCCTGCCATTAGGCTCTTCCTATGTAACAAATGTTTCCAATAGCTAGTTTAATGTTAATTGTTGAAACTGGCTAGGAAGAATAGTAATACAAGGTAATACTAAGAATAAATAATAGTAATGCTAGAAAAAAAGTAGTCATTCACCACTTTTCTACAAATCGTTGTAAAACAAATATTTTTAACGGTTCTATTTTTTTGAGTTAACGCTGGAAGTTTCTTTTTCTACAACACAAGCTCTTTCAAATAATCATCTTACAAGTTTCTTAAATGGTTGATAACATTAAGACTGGTATGTTAATGTAACAAAATGTGACAAAATGGTTCCTAAAAATAATTTCCCTGTAATCAAATAGGGAAAATTCACAACATAATTTTATATACAGACATAAAGCACTCCTAAACAATTTCAATATATTATAAAACAAGTATTTATAGATAGTATAATACAAATGAAAAAATACCTTCTTATATTTCTTTTTTAGATCAGCATAAATTTCTAATTTGAGCTGTTTTCCAGTATTTGGTCTATAAACTAAGAAAAGCTTCTTTTTTGGGTTCACTTCTTTAACCAAGATGGCAGTTTTCTTGTTGTTCCTTATCTATTTAAAAAAAAGTGAGAAAGTATAAAGATCTGTACTGCATACCTTCAAATACACTTTTTTGTGCCATCACATTAGCAAATGCAATCCTTTGAAAGACTGTAACACCAAATAGGCACATGAACCTGTAACTGTGGAAAAGGACAGCATCTTCCTTTGCTCATCTACCTGAGTTTTTACAAGGTCTCACCAGAATGAAGACTGAACCTGAATTCTTAGGGACACTCAAAACATAGGTTGAGGGCCAAGACACTCCTTAGGAGATTGTTTAGAATAAGTTTTAAAACATAAATGTCCAGTGGAGACAATTTCGCTTGTTCTAGGCCATGTTCTTGCCTCAGAGATCCAGGAGATAGGAGATTAGGGAGGGGGTAGAAAGGGTCTTCAGAGGAAAATCCTTTTACCTCTACTCTATTGTTCTTTAAGTGTTTATTATTTTTGAGAGAGCAAGTGTGAATGGGGGAGGGGTAGAGCGAGAGGGACAGCAGAGAGCCTGATGCGGGGCTCAAACTCATAAAGGGTGAGATCATGATCTGAGTCGAAACTGGACACTTAACCAACTGGGCCACCCATGCACCTCCCATTTCTTCTTTCATTTATTTTGAGAGAGAGAGGGAGAAAGGGAGACCGTGTGCAGGGAAGAACAGAGAAGGGGCAGGGCAGGGAGAATCCCAAACAGGCTCCAGGTTGTCAGCACAAGAGCACAACGCAGGACTCCAACTCACAAGATCATGAGATCATGATCTGAACTGAAATCAAGAGTCAGACATTCAACTGACTGACCCACCTAGGCGCCTTACTCTATTCTATGTTTAGAAATTTTCATAATAAAATGTGTAAAAAAAAAAAACAAGTTACTCTCCTTGAAGTTACAATGAACCATAACCTCTAAGATAATGATTTTGATCACCCACAGTTCCCTGCACCCATCTATAATCCATCCATCAGGGCTGTCTATCCCTACGGTTGCTGTAGGGTGAAGTTAAGACATCACATGATCTGTAAACAGTAAAGCTACGATATAAAAAAGCCAAAATGTTGAGCAAATAATAAATATACATAGGTAAAAAGGGAAGACGTGGATGTATCAGACAAATGATGGAACTTACACATATTTTTAATTTTTTTTTAAAAGTTGGGAGTTATGGCAGAAATACTAACAGGAAGGAAAAAGCCCATTAAACTCAAGGAAAATTAAGACCGGAAAATTAACATCTCCTTTAAAGAATGGTGAACAATTTGTAAGCAATAATCTCTGGAGCAAAACTGAAGGAAAAAAAGAAGTTTCAAAGTAAAGATACTTTCTCAGCCCCTCTACAAAACAAACTGTTCTCTGAGCTACTAACTTTACATTAATTCTTACACTGATAAAAGAAAAACACTTAATATTTTACTTATCTCTCATAGATATTAAAGATCATTTGTATGATCTTGAAACATTGTTTATACATTTACAAAGTCTATAAAACAATAGCTAAGGTAAAAATTACATTTTCTGATCTTTTATCAGTTGATGTGAAACTCCATATAATAATTATGCTTGGAGGACAGTGTTTAAAGCATTTAACAGTGTAATCTATCTTTACAGTGTCAAATTAGTTCATTACAATTACAAAATAAATCATCACGTTACAGTGGAAATAGAAGTGATTTTGACATGGTTTTCCTAATGTTAGCACACATTAAACACTGTAAAGCACACCTGCTTGTTTCTGTAGAGTGTCAAAGACAAACAACACCTGCACCTTCCTGGAAGGATTGCCCCTTCTAAGGCTGCATCTCCTCACATCCAATGGCCCTCTACCGTGCAGGAAGTAACAAAGGACCAGTGTTACCACGCCCTTCCACTCAAAGGGAGACGAGGATCAGCACTTTCCTCAAAACCGACCAGCGTGTACATTCTGGCCATAGTTTGGAACAAATAAAGAATAGCCAATACCCTAGCCCGCATCAATAAAAATCCCATCTAAGGGAGAATAATAAAATCTGTTGAATTCGATCAGTAATTGTGATGTAATACTGGTTTTGATATTATGATGCTGTAGTTTTATCAAATGTTACTGTTGGTGAAAACTGGTGTACAATTTCTCTGTATCATTTCTCATAACCTCATGTGAATCGACAAATATCTCAGTAAGATTTCCAAAAAACAAATTAACTAGGAGCCAGATTCAGTTTGAGAGCTTTGCTCTTGGATCAAGGGCCAGTAAATCAGGACTGTGACCAAATCAGACCTGAGGCTCCTAAGCTTAAGAACACTTTAAGGAAAGCGATGCCTGCATGGCTCAGTCAGTTAAGTGTCCGACTTCAGCTCAGATCATGATCTCACAGCTCGTGAGTTTGAGCCCCACATCGGGCTCTGCTGACAGCTCAAAGCCTGGAGCCTGCTTCAGATTCTGTGTCTCCCTCTCTCTCTGTCCCTCCCCTGCTCGTGCTCTGTCTCAAAAATAAACATAAAAAAAATCAAAACAAAACAAGAACAGTTTAATAGGAAAGAAGGAAGGAAGAAAGGAAGGGAAAAACAAAAACAAAAAAGAATAGTCAGTGGAAACCATCTATGGCCTACAAAACCTGAAATATTTAGTATCTGATCCATTGTAGAAGTTATTTAAGGATACCTGTTCTACATAGCTTATTTATGACAGCATCATATATGGCCTCTTTTATGCAGTTACATCTTCAACCTGGTCTTCATTTACAGTTGGCCTCTCCACAAATTTTGCAAATCAAAACTAAAATGTGGCACATACATACAAAGGAACATTATTCAGTCACAAAAAGGAATGAAGCACGGACACATGCTACAACATGAATGAACCCCGAAGGCTTTTATGCCGGGTGAAAGCCAGACACAAAAGGAGAAGTATTCTATGCCTGCACTTACATATACGAGGCACATACATATGCATATTCATAAACAGAGGGGAGATTAGAGATTATTAGAGGTTAAGAGAAGGGGGAATGGAGAGTGTTTAACGGTTATAGTTTTTGTGGGATGATAAAAAAGTTTTGAAAATAGAGAGTGGTGATGGTTGCACAATACTGAACATAATGCCACTGAATTATACACTTTAAAGGAGTTAAAGCGGTAGATTTCGTTATATATTTTACCACAACTTTAAAAGTTAACAATGTACACTGAACTATACACTGAAGTGAATTGGATGGTATATGAATCCTATCTCAATAAAGCTATTTAAAAAAAAAGAAATGAAGGAATAGATTAAAAACAACTCACGACAAAATAAATAAAAGGTGAAAATCTAATCAAGTTTTTAATGTTTGTTTTTGAGAGACAGAGAGAGAGAGAGAGAGAGAGACAGCGTGAGAGTGTGGGAGGGGCAGAGAGAGAGAGGGAGACAGAATCTCAAACAGACTCCAGGCTCTGAGCCATAAGAGAGCCCAATACAGGGCTTGAACTCAGGAACCACAAGATCATGACCTGAGCCAAAGTTGGACTGAGCCACCCAAGCACCCCTCTAATACTTAGATAAGAAATCTTGATAAAAGAGAAATTCAAGGAAACCATACTAAAGTCTTTGCAAATAAAAATAACTTAGAAAATTTTCTGAAATAAAAAGATTTGAAAAAGAAAAAAAAAAAGATTTGAAACTTCCTATATTGAAAGAGCGTATCACATACCTGAAAATACTAAGAATAACTAATACCAATATACGTTCACAAAATTATCAAACTCTAAAGGGAATCCTTTGAGTATGTAGATGAAAACAAAACAACCAAGGGGCGCCTGGGTGGCGCAGTCGGTTAAGCGTCCGACTTCAGCCAGGTCACGATCTCGCGGTCCGTGAGTTCGAGCCCCGCGTCGGGCTCTGGGCTGATGGCTCAGAGCCTGGAGCCTGTTTCCGATTCTGTGTCTCCCTCTCTCTCTCTGCCCCTCCCCTGTTCATGCTCTGTCTCTCTCTGTCCCAAAAATAAATAAACGTTGAAAAAAAAAAAAAGTAAAAAAAAAAAAAAGAAAAAAAAAGAAAACAAAACAACCAAATTAAAAAGGGGAAAATTCTGGGCACCTGGGTGGCTCAGTCGGCTAAGCAGCCGACCCTTAATTTCGCCTTAGGTCATGATCTCATATTTGTGGGTTCAAGCTCCACCTCAGGCTCTGAGCTGACAGTGCAGATCCTGCTTGGGATTGTTCCTCTCACTATGCCCCTTCCCTGCTGTGTTCTCTAAATAAATAACATTTTAAAAACGAGGGGGGGGGAGGGGAAGATTCACTGAACTGTATAAGATTTATGTTATGTATGCTATACCTTAATAAAAACATATAAAACGAGCTGAGAAAAAACAATCTTTTTTTAAGCAATTTTTTAATCTTTATTTTTGAAAGAGAGACAGAGTGTGAGTGGTGTACAGAGAGAGGAAGACACAGAATCCAAAGCAGGCTCCAGGCTGTCAGCACAGAGCCTGACATGGGGCTCGAACTCATAAGCTGTGAAATCATGACTTGAGCCAAAGTCAGATGCTCAACTGACTGAGCCACCCAGGCGCCCCTGGTAAAGTGGTTTTTAAATACAAAGGCACAAACTTTAACCATTTAAGAACTCAGGGAGTAATGCTCCCAAGCCCTTCTTGAGGATTCTACTACAGAACAGGCTTCAAACAAGATGATTAGTGATAGTAACCTCAGGACTAGTGAGAGGTGAGCATTAAATTTAAGAGCTAAGGTTAAGTATTAAAAGAAAAGCATACTATGTAAGTGCCATATGCTAACAATGCAGAAAAACACAGCTATGTTTTAAAATGGGAGAATGAGGGGAAGGAGACGCCCCCCCCCCCCCAAAAAAACCTCTCATGCTTTTTTTTCCAAATTATTTTCAGGAATACTTAGGTATAGTATCGTTATTATTTTATCGTCCTGTGCGCGATGGAGAATAAAGATTATTACTGCAGAAGAAAAGAACACACAGATACCAGAGAAGAGAGGACATAAAAATTCCATAGTCTTTAAGAGGAAAGTTCAAGATATTAGGCCCTATGTGATTTCACATAGACACGCATGCATGCATTTGTGGATGTAGGGATGTGTGTCTAGACGTACACACACATACATATACCCACCTCCCTCCTCCTTAGCTCTGACAAATATTAAAGAATTATTTACACTAATAGCTAAAAATGAATCAATGTTTAAGATACAAAGCTTAATATAAGACTACAAAACTATGTAGTCCTTTATATTGGCAAAAGAAGGTCACTATCCCATGCAAAACAGTCCAATTAAGTAATATATAATAATCCAAAACTTGTACCTAATATCCTTCATAATCCATTAAATGAAGGTGTCTATAAAAGGACAAACCCAGTTACAGAGATAAATGATCAAAACAGAAAAAGCCAAATACAACTGGAAAACTGGCACAAAGCAAATAGATAATTCGAATTCTGACAATGGTGATGCATTATCTATCTTCACAATTAGCACTGCAAGGAAACAAGTCTTACTTGCAGTGACAAGTAAAAGCCATCATCTGGTCCTGTCAGCTCAGCCCAAATCTTGGTAGCTTCCTCCCAAGACATTCCTCTCTCTACACTAATCTGTAAAAGAAATAATAAAACTTAAATTACACTCATTTCTGTGAGTGCCTGTCACAAAAGGAAATTACATTTAAATGTGCACATTTTCCAAACTTACAGTGTATAACTCTACATGACCAGAGGTTGAATACCCTGGAGTCAAAAACTTCTTAACATCACTTTTCCTCACTTTTTCATCTCCAGAACCAAGATCTTAAAAAAGAAAAAGCAACATATAAGTGAAAAAAGAACATTTTATTAGGAACACACAGGACATTTTCCAAGTTTCTCCACTTACCTAAAATTCCCATATCATATCTTCCATTTTTTTTGGCATTCTGAACAACGGCTGTAAGTGTGTCTGCAAAATACTGAAAGAGCGCATTCTGCTGGTGCACCTCCATGCCGAGAATTCTGTTTAAGAATTTTCCTATGTTATTATAATCTGCAAGGACAAGATTATGTCAAAGATTTAATACATTCAAATGGCAATTAAAATCTACTCGCCCCGGGGTGCCTGGGTGGCGCAGTCGGTTAAGCGTCCGACTTCAGCCAGGTCATGATCTCGCGGTCCGTGAGTTCGAGCCCCACGTCAGGCTCTGGGCTGATGGCTCAGAGACTGGAGCCTGTTTCCAATTCTGTGTCTCCCTCTCTCTCTGCCCCTCGCCCGTTCATGCTCTGTCTCTCTCTGTCCCAAAAATAAATAAACGTTGAAAAAAAAAATTTAAAAAAATAAAATCTACTCGCCCCTGGAATTAACAACAACAACAAAAAAAGATGGGGCGCCTGGGTGGCTCAGGTCATGACTCAGTTCAGGTCGTGATCTCGCAGTTCGTGAGTTCAAGCCCCACAACAGGCTGTGTGCTGACAGTTCAGAGCCTGGAGCCTGCTTCAGATTCTGAGTCTTCCTCTCCGACCCTCCCCCACTCGTGCTCGGTCTCTCTCTCCCAAAAATAAACATCAAAAAAAAGAAAGAAAGGAAAAAGAAAAAACTCATTCATCTAGGCTTAGGCCAAGTCTCCTTTCTCCCCCATGCTCTTCCCTCACAGCCTTGACTTCCCCCTGCTCCCAGAACAGAGCTGTAACCTGACCATGTCTACCTCTAACAATTAGTATGGCCACATACATACTCCAAAAGATAATGATCCTATTGAATTTCTGCATCTTCAACTCCACTTACTGAAAGTATGAACACAATTTAGCACATGAGAATGTTTGTTCTCCAACATGAAATCTTGATATATAAAGTTCTAAGTGCGATACGTCTGTGAAGCTCAACTTTGGCTACAACATTTGGAACTGTGGGAAATAGCAATGTCTAAGCCCCAGCCCTGGCTTCAGCATTTTCTAAAAGCTTGACAGTTGATCATACATGCAACCTGGGTTGAAAACTGCTGCTATATGGACATAGTAAAGGTTTAATCTCTTTTGAACAACCACATTAGCAAAAACCAGCCAGAGTGGTTTAGGAGGAGCACTGAGGAGGGATTGAGAAGTACAAACTTGACACTTCAAATTGACAAAAGTATAAACAAAAGGGGCTGTAATGATACAGCAACAGTTATGTCTATGTACAAAACTCATACTCTTACCTTTATCTAGAGTCAGAATTCCTGAGCGATCTTCTACATTTATCAGGCCAACTCCTATCAGTCCTTGTCGAACATCTGTCAAGAAATTGATGAAAAACCTTATAGCCCAAATGACCCAATGAGCTGTGAGATGACCAAACTACATCAAGTTCTAGCATTAAAACACAGCCTAAAGTATTTTTCACAGTTCCTATTAGCTGAATTAAATGGCCATCCCCACAGGTCTTCAGGCACTCCAAAATCCTATAGTATTCAAACTTCACACTATATTACTTCATTAAAAGATCTCATCTTCCCAATAGAAGTCACTGGAAGTGGAGATGTTTGGTTATGCAGCTGTCACCCACAGGCCATAAACAATTTTGGACACGTAAAGACGACTAGCTGATTAAATAATTGTGTAAACAAGCTATTAATCTTGCTTCCCTCTCAAATGTTATCCATCAGCATTGTGACAAGGTGGTACAAAAGCAAAATGTGTAACAGTTAGTTAACATGTTCTGAATTATGTTACTAAGAAGGCAGTTTATGGGGCCTTTTTTTTTTTTTTTTTTAAAGTTTATTTATTGGGACACCTGGGTGGTTTAGTCTGTTAAGCATTGGACTTCGGCTCAGGTCATGATCTCACAGTTCGTGAGTTCAAGCCCCGTGTCAGGCTCTGTGCGGACAGCTCAGAGCCTGGAGCCTGCTTTGGATTCTGCGTCTCCCTCTTCTCTGCCTCTCCCCCATTCACACCCTCTCTCGTTCTCAAAAAATTAATAGAATCATTAAAAATAAAGTTTATTTATATATTTATTTACTTATTTAAAGAGAGAGTGAGGGAGCATGCCCAAGCAGGGAAGGAACAGAGAGAGAGAATCCTAAGCAGGCTACACACTGCTACCATAAGGCCCAGTGTGAACCTCGAACCCATGAACCACAAGATCATGACCAGAGCCGAAAGCAAGAGTCGGACGATGAACCCACCCATGCATCCTAGTTTATGGGGCTTTTTATTACTGACGTCCAGAGTCCAAACCAGACTTACAGAATGAGGGTCTAAGGGAACAGAGTCAATAGGAAAGCATGATTGCATCCTATTTACACATTTAATGAATCAATCAGTACTCTGCTACACACACAAAACTGTTTAAATTCTGTAGGTGACAACTCTGCAGCCAGAGATCTCTGCTGCCAAAAATCCTCCTTTTTGGAAACCAGTCTTGTGGAAGAAAATCTGTACAGAAGGATAACTGTATAATTTCATCACTGTTTATGATGGCAAAAAAATGAAAACCACCTGAATACCAATGAGAGAGTGATTAAAAAACTGTTGTATAAGCTAGCTATAAAGTATCATCCAAATGTTAAAAATACATCAGTGCTGGGACGCCTGGGTGGGTCAGTTGGTTGAGCGTCCAGTTCTTGATTTTGGCTTAGGTCATGATCTCGTGGTTCTTGAGTTCGTGCCCCACACTGGGCTCTGCGCTAGCAGTGCAGAGCCTGCTTGGGATTCTCTCTTTCTGCCCCTCCCCTACTCATGCTATCTCTGTCTCTCTCAAAACAAATAAATAAAATTTAACAGAAAGAAAAAATTAAAAAAAAAAAAATGTTAGGGGCGCCTGGATGGCTCAGTCAGTTAAGTGGCCGACTTCGGCTCGGGTCATGATCTCGCCGTCTGTGAGTTCGAGCCCCGCGTCGGGTTCTGTGCTGACAGCTCAGAGCCTGGAGCCTGTTTCAGATTCTGTGTCTCCCTCTCTCTGACCCTCCCCTGTTCACGCTCTGTCTCTCCCTGTCTCAAAAATAAATAAATATTAAAAAAATGTTAGTGCTATAGCTACTGAGTTTTAAGAGGGGTCTATGTTATTAAATGAGAAAAGTACACTGTACATGATATCAATAACATTAAAAAAAAAAAGCCCTGTGTTTAGACAAACAAGGAGAAAAGATGTAGAAGGCGGTCCTTGTTCAGACTGTCAACACTTGTGACCTCAGCAGATGAGAAAGGGGGGGATTAAGGGGAGAGTACTGGTTCTTCATTATATACTTTGACTTTTTTCATTGCTTGTGAGTAACATGTAATTTACTTATTTTTTTTAAGATTTTATTTTTAAGTAATCACACCCAGCGTGGGACTTGAACACACAACCCGGAGATCAGGAGTTGCATACTTTATCAACTGAGCCATTCAGGTGTCCCAAGTAACATGTAATGAAAAAAAAAAAAAAAAAGAAACAAATGAGGGAGTCATTTTAAACACAACAACAAAGAACAAACAACAAAAAAACAGGAAGAAAAAAGAGAAAGAGGAAAAGAATTAATTGGTTCTTTGCTTTGGGTTTTTTTTTTTTTTTTTTTTTTTCTTTTTTTGAGAGAGAGGCAGCACGAGATGGAGAAAGGCAAAAGGAGAGACAGAATCTTAAATAGGCTCCACACCCAGCGAGGAGCCTGATGCAGGGCTTGATCCCACAACTCTGGGACCATGATCTGAACTAAAATCAAGAGACGGAGGCTCAATCAACTGAGCCACCCAGGTGCCCCTGTAGTTTTTGCTTTGTTAAATGCCACCAGTGATTATAAGCATCCTTGCCAGTATGTCAATATAGCTTATTACCAATACTAAATAATGAACCAATACTGGTTCAACTGGAAAGGACTTTCTAGTGAAAAATTCTAACTCTACAATAATGTTTCAAATACCCTACATCTACATATTTGCCAAAATATTTTCTTTTCTCTTAAGATTTATTTATTTTGAGGGGTGCCTGGGTGGCTCAGTTGGTTAAACATCTGACTTCGGCTCAGGTCATGATCTCATGGCTCATGGGTTCAAGCCCTGCATCAGGCTTTGTACTGACAGCTCAGAGCCTGGAGCCTGCTTCAGATTCTGTGTCTCCCGCTCTTTCTTTCCCTCCCCCATTTGCACACACTCTCTCTCCCTCAAAAATAAACGTTAAAAAAAAAGGCTTATTTATTTTGAGAGAGAGAAAGAGAGTGTACACTAGCGGGGGAGGGGCAGAGAGAAGGAGAGAGAATTCTGAGCAGGCTCCACACCATCAGCACAGAGTCCAATGTGGAGCTCAAACTCACAAACCATGAGATCATGACTTGAGCCAAGATCAAGAGTCGTACGCTTAACCGACTGTGCCATCGAGGCACCCCCTCCAAAGTATTTTCATAACTTTCTGAATTATAAAATAAATCATCAAAAATAAAAATCATCTAGACTACTTACATTCATGGGGAAAATGTATTCTAAAGATTTGCAAGACAGGTCAAAAGAATTTCTATAGCACTACCTGGGGCTTTTTTTTTAATATGCAAATTTCAAACGTATAGAAACATAAAAAGAATTACTCTATGAACCAGATACACATAACCCATCATCCAGTTTTAACAACTATTAATACATGGTTAATTTTGTTTTATGTACATCCTGTACCAACTTCCACAGATTATTTACCTAGGCACTTTCTAAAATGAAAATTTAAAAGCTACCTGGCATAGTCATTTTAAATTAACATAACAAATCCACTTTCCTCTATTAATCTAGTATTAACATGCAATAAACTGCCAATGGCAAAAAATACCTCATATAAATGAAATTTAATAATCTGATTGTAAGAAGTCAACTTAGGTGTCTGTTAACCTTTAATTTCTAAATTTTATACAATTTACATCCAAAGAAAATGTAAAACAACAGCACATGTCAGAATAAGTTTTAGTGCCTACCTTGTACTTGTTTTCCTCTATTGTGATTATTTTTATTTTTTAAAGTTTATTTGAGTGGGAGAAAGTGTGAATGGGGGAGGGGAAGACAGTGAGGGGACAGCAAGACTGCCAAGCAGGCTCTGCATTTCCAGCATGGAGCCTCATGTGGGGCTTCCACTCATCAACTGTGAGATCATGTTCTGAGCCAAAGTTGGACGCTTAGCTGACTAAGTCATCCAGGCACCCCTGAGTAATTATTTTTAAAAGTTACCTTTAAAGAATTCTCCAGGATAGTCCGGAGGTGGTGATACCATAGGAGAATCCAGGTTGACAATAGATTTCATGACAATTTCTAAAGCGTTTCTTCCATACTGCAATAAAAAACAAAAGTCAACCAAGCAAGTCCAGCACTTGCTACACGTCAATCACATGACCAGCTGAATGCTATAAAACTTATTATGTATGATACCAAAGATTCAAAAATGACAGGACTTTATATATATGTATATACATATATATGTGTGCGTGTGTGTATATATATGTATGTGTATACATATATATATATATGCTAGTTCACACAATAGCAGAAAGCAGATGTCCAATAAATAACTTCCTTTAAATTCACATTTGATTCATTCACAAGTATTTATTATATTCCTATTTCCTAATAAGGATGAAAATACGATTATACTGCAGAGTTGATCACCAAAGGTCTGATATGGGAAAATCTGTGTCTTACAGGATGCTATCATTTTACAGCAAAAACATAAGAGGAGGCGGTTTTAAGTTTTAAACAGTAACCACTTCCCCTTTTTGTTCACCAGAGAACTAGACACTACCACAAATTTTCAGAGATACTGAAAGCTGAAATGTACCTTATTATCAAAATTGAACCTGCTCAGATCTCTAGATTCTGTTGCTCTTCTGTCACCATGTGTAAGTGCTCCCTATCAAAACAGAAAGTTTCCAATCAAGGCACAGAAGACAGGTTAACATTCACCATCTCTTACACACAACTATACAACTTCAAAAACTTACCAAACTCTCAAGTCTTTTAGCAACAATAGAAGCAAATCTTTGCTCTCCTGCCAATTCAGAAATCAGAAACACATATTCGGGAGCAGTGACTTGGTTTGATCTATGAGTCCGTCCTGTAAAGACATTAAAAATACTGATGTGTTCCCTATACACAAAGTATTCTGAGATCGATTTCTAGCATTTTAACACCAAGCTGGTATCTGGAAACTTTTAAGAGAAAAACTGAAGAATGTAACATTTGGGGCACCTCGGTGGCTCAGTCGTTTAAGCTTCCAACTCAGGTCACGATCTCACGATTCATGAGATTGAGCCCCATGTCGGGCTCAGCACTGATACTGTAGAACCTTCCTGGAATTCTCCCTCCCTCCCTCTCTGTCCCTCTCCCACTCATACAGTCTTTCTCAAAATAAGTAAATATTTTAAAAAAAAAGTAACAATTACTGTGACTCTCCAAAAGGCACAAAACAGAAAACACTCGCTTGAACAACATCCATATTCAGAGCACTACTCCCCCCTTACAAAAGGACAGAAACTGCCACAGAACTGTCCAATGATAAACATATTATTACTGCTGCCCCACTTGGGGTTAACCACAATGTTTCTGAAGCAAAGTCACTCTGGGTTCTTCCAAAATTTTTATTTTTTAAATCATCAAGTCACAGGGACATGAATGTGTAGGGCAAGGGAGGAGTAATATGCCTTCAGTAAAGCCACTGAGGGCTGAAAAGGACATGAGGTGGCAGGTGCTCTGACAGAGACCACATACATCCTGAAGATCTATAATGAAGATATTCCCAAGGAACCTTATTCTTAGATATAATGCCAGAAACCCCCAAGAAATCCAACACAGTTCTTTTACATTTCTCACAACAGGTAAGAAATGAATTCACGTATTCTAGATTTTTAGGTATATGCAATACAAATTCCACTCCAAAATTACACATACGTCATGCTTTAAGATATCTGACATTAAATATAGGTTTTGATATGTACACATTTCCCCAATGATCCCTAGCTATCTATTAAGTGATATTCAATGTAGGAACTTACCGAACTGCTGAATTGCTCTATCAGCACTCCAGGGTAATTCCAAAGTCATGTGAACCCGTCGCCTTTGATTTTTAGCTCTCCGATCTGCTTGTAATGAAATGCCCGAGCTGGCAGCTTCTGAGATGATAGCAATATTCTGTATTAAATGTAAGGGGGGAAAAAAAATAATCACCTTTGCACAAAGACAAGTAGGCCCGTACCCTAAGTAAATTTCTTAGAGTACTAGTGGTCCACCAATACCTATCCTCCCCTTCTTCTTCAATTATGGAACCCCAAATTAGGCAGGTACACGGCTGCCCAGAATCAAGATTGTATTTCTCACTTTGCAGTGCAGCTAATTGTGGGCATACTCCAGTAGGCTGTAGGTGATACGAACATCTAAGTAATGTCCTTCAAAGTCAAGAACGTGCTCTTCTTTTTTCTCCTCTCTGCTAGATGAAATGTAAAGGTATTATGACTGAATCTAAAATAGGTAACTTGAAAATGGAGGCCCACATATTAAAGGAATAAGACAGAAGAGGCATAGTCTTCAAGGAGCTTTAATGGCCCTGGTCTACATACTCAAACTTGTACATGGGAGAAATTACCTTCTACCTTGTTTAAATCAGTATGATTTTGGATTTTCTGTCATTTAACAGCTAAAACTAATTCCAACTAATACAACTCCCAATGCACATGGGCAAAAATTCATGAAACAAAGTACATAGCACAACTGGTAATACCTCTTCCTACAATCTTTAAAATATGTAGCATGAGCTTTTAAATATAAGGGGCACCTGGGTGGCTCAGTCAGTTCAGTTAGTTAAGCATCCGACTCTTGATATTGGTTCAGGTCATGATCTCATGGTTGTGAGACTGAGCCCCACGAAGGGCTCCATGCTGACAGCAGACAGCCTGCTTATGAGTCTCCTTCTCCGGCTCTCTTCCCCTCCCCCGTTCATGCGTGCTCTCCCTCAAAATAAATAAATTTTTAAAGTACATAAATGTATTTCCAGAAGACTTTGATAATGGTAACTATCCTCAATTATTTCATTTGCAAAGGCAGAAAAACTCACTGAAATATAAAGAAAAATGTGAGTAAAGATTTAAGATTTTATTCTACCTTTTAAATTAAGGAATTAAGTTTAAGTGGCACTCCTATTTTTTAGCAATCTCATCAGCAAATGCTTATGGTTAATTCCAACTAAATGCGGAAGAACTAGTCTGAGAATCTCAAAATTGACTGATGGTTACTTAACAGTAAGAGGCTATACAAAGAGCCTCTGGAGGCAACCAAGGTCTGTCTCCACAACGGTGAGGTATGCAAGCCAATCTAAACGTCATTCAGAAGAATCACCCTAATATGACACGGCACAGCAGTAAGAATCAGCAAAACCAAAGACCATCAGGAATCTGTGTGTGCTTAAATGTATTTTTAGACTCAAAATTAGACTGACACTGGAGAGTAGCATTAGATGTGAAGTCATTAAGATGACCTGTGAGAACTCAGTATTTTCATATTCTGATTAAAAATGTAGAAAGTCTCCAAAGTTATTAAGATCCACATTTAATTTTGTGCACAATAGAAAATACTTACTACATCCAATTTGTGAGAAAATAATGAAAATGTAAAATGTGCAGTATGTGCAATTACTAAAAAATACAGAATAACAACAACTTTCAACGCAATTTCTTTTATTTATTTTTAAAGTTTATTTATTTTGAGAGAGAGAAGTGGAGGGAGGGGGCAAAGACAGAGGGAGAGAGAGAATCCCAAGAAAGTTCATCCTGGCAGCCCAACATGGGGCTCAATCCCACAACCCTCTGACGATGACCTGAGCTGACATTAAGAGTCAGAAGCTTAACCAACTGAACCACCCCCACAACATGTAGTTTCTTTTAAAAGAAAAAACAAAACCAAACAAAAACCCTAAACATTAATTTTAACATATGGGCATTGTTCTTTTCATTGAAAAGCATCCCAGAAAAACATACCTTATCTCCATCCATAAATCTTTGTTTTTCTGTAATATTTAGTATTTCCACAGGGACATCAAGTTCAGATCTTGACTCATAAGATATGCTTCCATCATCATTGCTTACAACCCTCCCTTTGCGGCCAGTCATCTGAAAAACCAAAGTGTCCTTACAATTAAGTGACCTGATTAAGACGCAGGACACCCAGGACTCCTTCATTAGAGAAACGTGGTGGGGGATAGAAGGGGATGATGAAGCCAGTATGTACCGTGCAGCCTGGGCTGCACAGGCACCCTGGGGGAGAGAACACTGCAAAACAATCTCTGGTTTGGAGAAGTTCAGATTCCAGCAGAGAAAGCAGATGTGGGGCAATGATCACAAAGGCTGCATGACAGGTGCAGTAACAGATCAGTGTTGGGTAAACACCAGATACTAAGGATAAGAATTCACTGACTCTAGGAAGACAAATACAGAACAAGGTTCTAAGATCTAAGAGAAAATTAGACACATTATTATGATATCCAAAATAGCACTCATTCCTCAGCATTTTGGAAGTGGCCAAAAGGAACACAAAAAAAAAGACCAAGGAGAGACACAGCCCTGATCGAGTCATATTCACCTCAGCAACATTCTCAGGGCCACCAAGTTCATCAATAAGTTCATCCAGGGTATTAGGAGGGAGGTCTTCAGCTAATTTTTCTAGTTTATCAAGTAGGTCTTTCTTCATCTGCTGGGCTCTTTCCACAGCATCCTGACTTGTTATAAGGCTACTGTTACTGTTGGTGTTACTGTTGGCTAGATAAGGCACATTTGGTAAGAAAAAAAAAAAAAAATCAGTACAAAGTTTAAATATGTTTTGTTTAAAAAGTACATTTCAAGGACAAAGCAAGCTTCCTCTTAAGATACCTGGTGCACTGTTAGGAGCAGGCAAAATTACTGGCGTAGATGAAAAACTAGGTCGTTTTGATCCAAGACCTGATGCTAATAAGGCACTTTGAATAGAATCTGGATCTATACTTTTCTTTTTTTTTTTATCTTTGTTTTTCTTGTGATCTTTCCTGATTAACCAGGGATCTGAAAGTTAAGAAGAGATGTGTCAAATCATTTGTGAACGAAGCAGAATCTTCAAAGGCAGTAACACTTGAATTTTCTGTATTAACTGGTAACTTATAATTGTCACCAGCTACACTGGTCCAGTAATACATCCAACACACCATAAGGTACAATGCCAGAGTTTGAGGTTAAAAAGCACTACACAAAACGGAGGCCACCATCTCCCATAAATGAGATAAACTACCAAAAGACAAACAAGCTTGGGAGTTGTCCACCAAGCAAAGATGAGAATCTGTGCGATGATTTGTACTGCACAGGGGGCAAAAAAAAAAAAAAAAAATATATATATATATATATATATATATATATCCCATTTCAGACACAGAGATAAGTATCCTTTAGTTTATATTTAACCGACACACTTACCGTCTTCGTCATCCTCACTAGACTCATCTCTGAACGGGTTGAAGTCATCATCGTCTCCGGAACTCATGTTTTTTGAGCTCTCATAGTCACTTTCTTCATGGTCAGACGCGTCAGATTCACTCCCACTGTCATCAGAACTGCTACCAGTAAGGCCACCTACTTTTCGTGCTTTTTTGGCTTCTCGGGTTATTTCTTCACCTACCCTCAAACCCCCAAACAAGACAGTCAGCCCAAACACACTATTCTAAATATCCAAAAAATTACATTTAACTCATGAGCTATTCAAATGAGAAACACAGAGGGGACGCCTAGGTGGCTCAGTCGGGTAAGCATCCAACTTCGGCTCAGGTCATGATCTCATGGTTCGTGAGTTCAAGCCCCACGTCAGACTCTATGCTGACAGCTCAGAGCCTGGAAACTGCTTCAGATTCTGTATCTCTCTCTGTGTGTGCCCCTCCCTCACTCACTCGTGCTCTGTCTCTCAAAAATGAATAAACATTAGAAAAAAAAGTTTTTAAATCACAGGAGAAAACAGAGGAAAAACATTTCCTTAAGTACATAAAATTCATAAGTGTTAACCTTTTAGGACTCCCATAAGAAATCAGGTTAAGTTTAGTTATTAAGAAGAAATGAAACATGTCAATACATATCCAAGACTGCCTTTAAATATGTTTCAAAACAAATTCAGGACAACAGACACAAAACAGAATCTCTGGCATTTTCACACAATCCAACTGCATATCAGGTTGAGAGAACAGACCTAATAATTATAGGTTTATAGAGTACTTAAAAAATAAAATACCTTAAAAAAATAACTTATGGAATACTTAAAAAAAATCTGTAACACACCATTTTAGAAATCAAACAAGGTGCTGATTTGAATTATTTTACTGAATATTCAGAAAAGAGATCTGGAACAAACCATTAAAAGTTCACATATTAATGATATATATGGTAAGAACATAACTCAGCAAAGGGAAACGACCACGCGACCATTTAAGAGGCCACTGATTCTAAAACACGGCATTACTTTTTGTGCCACTACCATAAAAAAATGTTCTCAATTATAATAACCAACCCACTTTCAAGCATATTAAAAATGTAGGGGCACTTGGGTGGCTCAGTCAGTTAAGTGTCTGACTCTTGATTTTGGCTCAGGTCATGATCCTAGAGTCGTGGGTTTGAGCCCTGCTTGGGATTCTCTCTCCACCCTCCCTGCCCTTCACCAGCTCGCGTGCTTTCTCTTTCAAAATAAACTTAAAAAATGTGAAAAACATGTACTTACAACAGATAAAAAAAAAATTAAGGCTCAAGTATCAGCCACTGTGTTTAGAATACACAGCATCACAGACATTCCAATGGAAGTTATCACTGTCCTAGAGAAAGCCTGTGAAGTTAACTTTTGTTTCTTAATGTTTTTTTTTTTTTTATTTTTTTTTTCAACTTTTTTTTAATTTATTTTTGGGACAGAGAGAGACAGAGCATGAACGGGGGAGGGGCAGAGAGAGAGGGAGACACAGAATCGGAAACAGGCTCCAGGCTCCAAGCCATCAGCCCAGAGCCTGACGCGGGGCTCGAACTCACGGACTGCGAGATCGTGACCTGGCTGAAGTCGGACGCTTAACCGACTGCGCCACCCAGGCACCCCTCTTAATGTTTATTTTTGAGAGACAGAGAAAGAGAGACAGAGCATGAGCAGGGGAGGGGCAGACAGAGGGAGACACAGAATCCAAAGCAGGCTCCAGGCTCTGAGCTGTCAGAAAAGAGCCCAATGCGGGGCTCGAATTCACGAATGGTAACATCATGACCTGAGGTGAAGTCAGATACTTAACCGACTAAGCCCCCTAGGTGCCTGAGAAGTTAACTTCTGAAAGCCAAACATCTTACCAAGCATCTAAACACAAGCTGAAGTTTGCATATTATAAAATGTCTAGTAAGCACGGAGTGTATTCTTAAAAATAATAAATTAACAAATGACTCTTTAAAGACTGTAAAAACACCATATGTGTGTATGCATATGCAGCTATAACAATAGCAAGGCCCAGATTTTGCTGTGTATTGCCCACTAGCTATGTGAACCTGGGGAGATTCCTTAACCTCTTAATCTTTCTGTGCCTTAGTGTCCTCTGTCTAGAAAACAAAAAGCAAGACCTATTTTCATATGGATCCCTTGTGGGTTAAATGAAACAATGCATGGCCAGTGCTTAATATAGTGCCTAGCACCAAATTGTTCAAGTCCTAATTTAAAACAGGGAGTTACTTGTGTGTTCAAAACTACATAGGCAACAGTGAAAATATACAACTACATGCCAATTTAAGGAAGGCAGCTCAATCCCAAAATATAGCTGCTTCAAAATGCTCAAATTTACACTATTTTCAACATCATTTAAAGAAAAAAAACCCACCTTTCCGCTTCTTCACTTTATTTTCTTTACAAGGACTATCTCTTGGTGAACTATTGTTACTTGGAGCTGTCAAATCAATTCCTAACAAACTATACAGTTTTTTTCGATCTGGAGCAGGGAAGTGTTTTTCAATTAGTGACTGCAACACTCCTCTGTTTATAGGAGAAAAAAAGTGACAATTAGTGGTTCAGTTTGCCAAATAGTTTATTATATATAAAGTCTTACTGAATATATTTTTAAAATACATTTCCTAAAAAGTAAATACTGTATACTTTGTTCAGTTTTACAAAACAGTGATAATCCAGCTGAAATAACTTTAATATTGTAGGTCATCGCTAACTGAAATAAAGTTCAGGCCAAGCCAAATATGCAATTTTTACATTTTCTAGTAACTACATTAAAAAGTAAAAGAAAACTAGAAAAACGTTTTTTAATAATACATTTCAGGACATATTCTACTATTATATATCAATGTATCATTTCAAAATGCAATCAGTGAGATGTAAAACATATACTTTAAGTCTTTGAATGAAATCTCCTGTGTTTACATTCACAGCGTATCTCAATTTGGACTAGCCATTGATAGGCACCCGTGACTAGCTCCTACCATTTTAAACAACATAGTAATAGGCACATAAGTACAAAAGACAACAGATTAGTAGGTGCATGTTTTGTTTTTAGAAGCAGTTTTGGATTATATCCACCTTAAAAGGAACCACTTGAATATATCGCCTGAGGCAAAAGATAGGTGGGGCAAAGGTTACTTTGCTAATTTTACTACCACAGTTAACATGGCTAGGGTAGGCAAATAAACTGAGAAACGATGTCTAAAAACTTTTTAAAACTCTTTTTGAATATCCCATGATTGCGTGCAATTTTTATACACAGATTACTAAACTAGGGCAAACTCTACTTATTGTTCGTGTGGATAATGGTAATTTCAAACACACAAAGCTGAAACTAAAACAGAAACTAATCCAAGCTGTCACACATTTCCAAGATCTACAAGACAAAAATCATACCCTTCCATTAGTTCAAATACTGGGCACAATATTGTCAAAATGCTTAACAACTGAGCATTCGTATGTTGTTTTCCAAAGGATATACTGTCATGGATCGCACAGAACTGCAAAAACTAAGATCAGAAAAACTTTAATGATGTTAAGGATGAATCAAAACTTTTGCCTCCAGGAAATGCGAACACTTAAAACTAATCTAAATAAAAACTTAAAACCAAAAACATTACTTGGCAGTTGAAACAAAATCATTCAATTCTCCTCCACCCTCCTCCAAGGCTTCTAATGTTCTAGCTTCTCCTGTTGACTGCAGACCAATTACGACACACTGGAGAGAAAAACAGAATTATAAATAATACCACGCATGTGGTTTCTTAAGATGTATTTTACATATTTAGTTAAGAAAAAGGATTTCAAACAAGAATGACCCATTATTGTACATACGTGCTCATTTATTTATTCTGTATATATCTGAGGCATGCTACTATGTGTAAAAAACTTAGCTAGGAAAATAGGATTACGGCAGTGGACATAATTAAAGCCCCTGCCTCAGTTCTTTGGACTTCAAGTATATCTATATTTTGCTGAAAAGAAAAACTGTATGGCAATAAATACCCACATGTCATCAGTAGTTATATCTATGAATGGCCAAATTATAGTGGTTTATTTCTTTATACTCTTTTCAGCTATCTAAATTCTTTAAAGAAATGTGTATTTTAAAGTCTGACTACATTAATACTTTTATAACTCTCAGAAAGAGCAGGCTTTCCAAGCAGAAAGCCTGAACACACAAGACTAGAAAACATAACCAAAGAATAAATCTAATAATGTGTTCTTCAACTTACTTTTCCATTCTTGATTTCTTCTCGAGCTAGTTGCACAACCCTTTTAACTTTGGATGCTATACACAAGTATTTGAAAAATCTCTGGTGAGCAGACCAGAACTGACCCCACATGGATTTCTTCATGCGTTGCTCAGCATCAATCAGATCTGCAGCTTGCTGAAATCGCTCTCTGGCAATGACCCACTGAAGACACACAATCAACATTTTAGATATTTCATCTGTAAGTGTGCATTATTTGAAAATCACTGATTCGGGGCACCTGGGTGCCTCATTCAGTTAAGCGTCCGACTCCTGATTTTGGCTCGGGTCATGATCTCACCGTTTTGGAGTTCGAGCCCCGCATCAGGCTCTACGTGCACAGCATGGAGCCTGCTTGGGATTCTGTCTCCCTTTCTGCCTCCCCCCCACCCCACCCCCGCTCGTGTACTTTCTCTCTCTCTCAAAAAAAAATAAACATTTTTTAAAAATGACCGATTCAAGCAAAATAATGTCAGGTGCAAGACTACTTAACATTAATTTAATAAACCAACTTCAGTAGCTTGGGAAGCTCTAAACGAATGTTTTTCAGGATGTTCACAGTTGCCTCGAAACTCTTCTTAGCAACTACAGTCATTTTAGGGAATAGTTACACTGTAATTTTAAAACTATGCGACTTAAATAAATGGCTTTTTAAAAAGTTTATGCATTTAAGTGATCTCTACACTAAATGTGGCTCGAACTCATAACCCTGAAGATCAAGTCACATGCTCTTCGACTGAGCCAGCCAGACACCCCATTGTAAATAGCTTTTTTATGTTGTTTTACTTATTTATATTTACTTGAAAGAGAGAAAGCGCACGTGCACAAGCGGTGAAGAGAGGCAGAGGGGGAGAGAAAGAATCTTAAGCAGGCTCCACACCCAGCATAGACCCTGATGCGGGGCTCGATCTCATGACCCTGGAATCATGACCTGAGCCGAAATCAAGAGTCAGACACTCAACCGACTGAACTACCCAGGCTCCCCAATAGCTTTTTTCTCCTAATAAATTACTTTAACAAAGAGAAAGCTTAGAAAATTAGGAAAGTAAGGATCTGGTGATTTATCTGTTGTTTTACAGCAAAATATACTCTTGTGGGCTGACAGACATTAAAAATACTAGGAATTAAGAAATAACTTCTCACCAGCTTGACTGCTTTGTTATACATTTTCACATAGCTCTGAGAAAGAAGAACTTCCTCAATTTTGAAGGTCACTCCAGTAAAGCTCAGCTGTCGAGCAATGTACATTCCTCTAAGTTTCATATCCATAGCAACTATTTCCATGGCACCAACACCTCTGAATAAAATTAAAACACACAGTAACTATCATTAAATATAGTAGGGCTTTAATATAAGTGGAAAAGGTTTTAGCAGTAACACCTCTTTTAAACTGCAACTGAGAACAAATAGTGTATACCATAAACTACCTTACCTCCGTTCTACTGCTTGGATAAAATCACTGAATTCTCTAAATGGAGTTCCCTCACCCCATATTCCAAGACGGTTCATATAGGCCATGTTTCGTGGTTCAGAAGCACCTGAAAAATCCCAAAACAAAACATGTTATAGCTGAATAAATAACTCACACATGTATCTTTCAAATAAAATAACAACTCACCAGTGGCACTAGCATAAACAACTCTGGCCTTTGGCAATTTGTTCTGAAGCTCTAAAACTGCCAAGCCTGTCTTGGTTGGCTTCGAAGAACCAACAGGACATAAGTTTTTTGCTTTATGGCATTCGTCAAAGACTATCTGTACAGAGTGAATTAAGGAACATATCACAGTAGCAAGTATTTCTAATCTTTAAAGAAGACTTAACTTTTATTTCCTTAAGGTCTTGGGGAACATCCCAAATTTCTGTGGTAGAGGAGTGGGCCAAGTTCAAGATAATCAGGAAGGGAGAGCTGCCACGGATAATAAGCCCCTGAGCATTAACTTTTTAAAATAATACCAACATACCCATCATACAGCTTTGTAAAACCTGTAACATTTTACCTTACTTGCCTCAGATTCTTTTTAAGATCACAAACATAAATGAAGCCCTCTACGTGCCTCTCTTTGACGTAACCCCTCCCTTTCAAGTCTCAGAGGCAACCTCTGATTTGGGTATTTCTATTAACCTGATATTTAATTCTTGATTAGAATGGAGGAAAGGATCCACCTTGGCAAGAAAGGTCCACCACACAATTTTGGCAAATTCTCTAAGTAGAAGTACAATTGGTAACTAACTTAATGAGCATTTTAAAAACTGGCATTCCTAATGCAGGACAGCAAAAGGTTTGCCATGGGTAAACAGGTTTGAACATCACTAAGTTCAGTTTTTTCCCCTTAGTCGTCTCAGGTGCTTTACTATATCAATATGCACCGTGAATCCCCAAAAAGAGGAATATAGCATTCATCATGTCCCACACCTCTTAACATTTCCCTAAACCAGGAGCTTACATACTGGCCTCCTATATGGCAGCTACAAAACAGAATCAACTTTCTGACCCCTTGGATGCTGAGCTATCCTAAAAGCTCTCATCCTAGCAACTGCAGTTAACCTAAGGATGTAGTTTTCCAAAGGTTTATTCTCACATGCACTTTTGTGTCATTAAAAAACATAAAAACATTTATTGAAAAGGATACCACTCCATCAAAGTCATCACCACACCAATGCAGAAGTTGTTTTAATCTAGTTTTGTATTTACCACCAGACTGACTTTCACCAATAAGGGAAGAATAGGTAGCAAAAATAACACCCTTTTTCACGCTCCCGTTATGTTTGGAAGAAATTTTTCCATATTTAAACTAAAAAAGAAAAAAGAAGTTATAAATATACTTTTTTCTCTGAAACATTTATCTTACCTAAGCTTCTATAGCAGGAAACTGGTGAGTCTATCATGGGTTTTAGGGAAGTCAAAGGACCCCTAAGACCATACACAAAATTTCTTCTACATACGTATACACACACACGTACCATTGTATGTATGTACGTACACACACACATAACTTCGTGACATAAGGATCCAGTTTTCATCAAAGTCTCAAAAATCTTTTTTTTTTTTTTTGAGAGGGTGCTGGCAGGGGAGGGGCAGAGGGAGAGGAAAAGACTCCCCTAAGCAGGCTCCACACCCAGGAGGGAGCCACCCAGGCCCTCCTCAAAAAACTTCTATCAACAACAACAACAAAAGATTACAGGGGCTCCTGGGTGGCTAAGTCAGTTAAACATCCTACTCTGGATTTCAATTCATGTCATGATTTCGCCACCATGGGATCAAGCCCCGCATGGGGCTCTGTGCTGGATGTAGAGCCTGCCTAAGATTCTCTCCTCTGTCCCTGTCCCTCCCCTACTCCCTCTCTCAAAAACAAAACAAAAAGCCGAAAGGTTATAAACCAAGCTCCCCTCTAAGAAAGAAGTCACAATATTCATTTTACAAATATTTATTGTGCACTTGCTATATGCCAAGTCACTGTCAGTCCTGTGTCATATATAACGAGCTATGCCAGTCAGTTTTTTAGTTTGAGCTGTCGGTTATCAATTCAAGAACCAGCACCACCAATCCACTCAGTCATACCCCCCCTCGAAAAGCCGATGATGAGCAAGGCAACACTGAACCAACTTAGGGCCACATGGAATGCTTGTCCTTACTTATTTTCAAAAGGCTAACGGGGAGGCATCTGCAGGAACCAGGTCTGTCTATTCCACCCTGGTAACTCCAGCAGTTGGTGCACAGGAGGAGGTCAGTAAGGGTTTGCTAAATGAACATGAAGATTCTTATCACATTATACTGCTTTAGATACCTACCCACGTTTTCTTCCACTTGACAGTATTATTCTTACATAAACGCAGGTACAGATACACAAATCTACCAGACAAATCTCCAAATCAGTCTCCAAAAGTCAACAATTCCCTATGTGCTGTGATGGGCACACTACCTGTCCACACAGCTTTACTACAGTGCACCCTTCTACACACAGTTGTGAGCTTCAGCATATAAAGTCACCTCAGAAACAAAGACCAACACTGAAGACTGAGAATAAACTCCGTAACGACAGAGACAAGGCCTATTTTGTTTGTCACCACCCAACCGTACCTGGCACAGTAGATGACATACAGTAATCGACAACCCAATGAGAATGGCTAGCCCTCAACTAATGCTTTCTGTAAAATAACTCACTTGAACTTTGTAACTCTACAAAGTAGAACCTGTTATTATTCCAATCTCACAGATGAATCAATATTTACTGAATGACTGAATAGAAAACTTTCATACCTTATTTAATGAATGAACCAAAATGTTTTTTGCTCCAATATCCCTCAAATCTCTTTCAGCATCATACTTCAAGTCATTTGAAACACTGAACCTGCCACATAAAAAAGAAAAGAAAAAAAAAAAAAAACACACACACACAAATTAAATGCAAATTCCATCAATCTAGCAGTACTCAGGATAAATAAAACCAGGCCTCGACACTTAAAAAATACACCTACTCAGTAATAAAACCCATCTCACATGCGTAAGTAATTATTCACAAAAGAAAGCTTACACAGTCTTTGGCACTTACTTACCATAATGCTCTTTTTCTACTCAACAAATAATTTTCATAGATGATTCCTGCTATCGTCCTTCCTTTTCCTACACCAGCACCATCACCTATTAAGAAGCCAGCACGATCTCCATTAGGTAGGAATGTTTCATGTTGCTAAAAAAGAGAAAGTTGATAATTAATCTACTCCTTCAAATACCTTAGCCATCAGTCTTTTAAACAGGAAAATATTAATGTGATTTATGCGTATACAAATGACATACACTTTGGCTTAGTATGAATACTTTCTTTATATTTACTAAGTATTGTTTCTTGCCACACTCACATGCACCAGGTAACTGAAGTCAACAAACTGGTGAGCATTCTCCCATACCTGTTTCAATGCTTGCAGAGTCAAATACAAACTTTTAATCACACATAAACATGGGGGATGGTTAGCTGTTTGGCCATTACTTATTTTACAGAAATGGAGTACGACAGAAGCCCTCTCAAGACAACTAGCATAACTCTAATTCATGGTTTTAAAAGACAGTACCATACCCATACACTAATACCACAGTTTATTCAAACACCCACAAGGGTATGGGCTTTTAAGTCTTTTCCAGCATTCTACCACCAAAGTTAAAAAAGCTGCAACAAATAGTCATCCACCAAACACAAAAACAAAGTCAACCACCCATCTATCCATCTCCTTAATATATATGTTCTCAATCTAATAGTTCTGTCGAATAGACTTCCCATAATACACTTGTTAGGTCAAAGGACATAAGTTATTTTTTCAAGCAAGCTCTGCGCCCAACGTGGGGCTTGAACTCGTGACCCTGAGATCAAGAGTTGCATGACTCCAAGATCAAAAGTTGCATGACTGAGCCAGCCAGGCGCCCTAAGATATATGTATTTTTAATTTTAATACACATTCCAAAAAGGCTGTAACATTTGTCATTTCTAGCAGAAACGCGCACCTCCTGAATCCATGCTACCTCTTTAATTATCAGACACGTGAAACTTCTATAAAAATCACATTCACAAGTTTTTCATGCAAGGAAAACGTAACCTTTGCATTAAAACAACTGTATTATATGGACCAGGATTCAAAGATAAATATTGTATGTAGCTACGAAATATTATTGCTTACCTGCGCTGCATAAGTAATTGCCTCAAGCTGTAACGCTGATAACCAGCCATTATCAATGGTTTCTTCAGAAATGGATGTTTTGTACCAAACATCAGGAGGAGTAACACTGGATAAAGAACTAGTTTCCACTACAGCATCTGGATGACGTAGGCCAATTTTTACTGAACGAAAAATTTAAAAAACTTCATTTTAATTTTTCTAGGTAATAACACTTCCAGTTTTATTATATGATATTGCCATGTTTTTCCTATCATAGAAAAAGTAAAAGTAAATAAGTAACTATACACTTCAGGATTCTATAAAGGCATTGATGGGTGGTAAATTACTATTTAAATTTGACTAAAAGGACCTATTTATCAAATACTCATGCTTTAAATAAAGACCCGCTGATTAAAAAAGTCTAGAAAAATATGGACTTGGTTCATACCACCAGGTTCTCCAATAGCAACAAACACAATCCTAGATTTGGGAATTTATCTGAATGAATCATTCCCTTGCATCAGTGAAACAAAAGTTTGGAATGTAATTTTACTTTGAAAGGGATTTTAATGGAAATCTTGGCCATAAAATTAAACAGCAACTAATTCCCCAAAATGCATTATGTGAATAGCTTTAAACAGAGGTCAGCAAACCTTTTCTATATATAGTCAGACAATAAATATTTCCAGCTTTGCAGAGTATCTGGTGTTACCGAACATCGGTATGGTAGCAATGTAAAAGCAGCCATAGCCAATAAATAAATAAACTCACGCGCATGGTTATGTTCCAATAAAACTTTATAAAAACAAGCAAAAGTCCAAATTTAGTTTGCTGACTTTGGTTTCAAGGGCCATGGATAAACTCTCAATCCTTTTATGAACTATTATGGGTGGGAGGGGGAAACTACCCATTTCGGATACCACAACCTGAAGTTCATAGTTTAAAAACGTATACAGGTATGTAAGTATATGTGTATGTATTATTTTTAAGTAGCTTCCACATCCACGTGGGGCTTGAACTTACAACTCTGAAATCAAAAGCTACATGTTCTACCAGCTGAGCAAGCCAAGTGCTCTTTAAGGTTCGTCAAAAAACAATTATTTTTACTGTATGTTCACTAACTTGGATTTAAATTAAAAAATAAAATTTAATTAAAAAAATTGTTTTTCTTTTACTTCTAAAGTTCATTTTAGGGGCACCTGGGTGACTCAGTCAATTAGGTGTCTGACTCTTGGGTTTCAGCTCAGGTTTCAGTTCTCACAGTTTATGACATTAAGTCCCGAGTCGGGTTCTGTACTAACACCATGGACCTGCTTGGGGGTTCCCTCTCTCCCTGTCCTTCCCTGGCTCGCTCTCTCAAAATACATAAATAAACTTAAATAAATAAATAGAGACACCTGGGTGGCTCAGTAGGTTGAGCATCCAATGTCAGCTCAGGTCATGATTTCATGGTTCATGGGTTCAAGGCCCCACACATCCAGCACTCTGCTGTCAGTGTGCAGCCCGCTTTGGATTCTCTATTCCTCTCTCTTTCTGCACCTTCTCCTCTCCCACTCACATGCATGCACGCTCTCTCTCAAAAATAAACATTAAAAATAAATAATTTCTTTTTAAATGGCCAGAAAATTATGGGAGCTTGAAGTCCATACACAGTTGGTAAACAGATTTTTTAGTTCAAGTGGTAATATTAGTGGCTTTTTATAGAAACTCAGAGTACATAAAAGATTCTAGCCATGTGTATGTTTTTTCCATCTTATCACCACCATATAACGAGAGTGAACATTTGTTTTTTTTTTTTTGAGAGGGAGGGAGTACATGCTCGAGGCAGGAGGGAGGTGGGGAGAGGGAGAATCTCAAGCAAGCTCCATGCCGAACTGAAGCCCCACTGGGCTCAAATGCACAATCATGAGATCGTGACCTGAGTGAGCCTAAATCAAGAGTCGGGCATTTAACCAACTGAGCCACCCAAAGTGAACATTTTTCTACTAAAGTTAAAAACTATTAATTTTCAGTTTGACATAGTATAGTGGTCACTAAAAAAATAAAACATGATTGTTATGGCAAAAAGGGAGAAATGTTAATGTACACTATTGAAATAAATAGCACATTATATTTTTAAGATTCCCGTGCTTTTGTTTGCATAAAGTATATAAAGCTAAGGTACAGACTTACGCCTCTATAATTCACTATGATTTTATACCTGCTGCTGACATGAGCAAAATTAACTTGAAACAAAATAAAGCCCAAGCTTTTTTACTCTTAGTTTTAAAGGACTTCAACCCAAAACAGTTTTAACTTTCTGTAGGAAAAAATACACCAGTAAAATTTTCACCTAGATATTTTAAAACCTGTAATAGTTTAAAACAGATTATAAGGCTCACACTTGTCAAATTCCAAGGTACCCAATATTGATAGATCCTAATAGGTAATAACATGTGTGGGAAAGTTACTTAAGTTCAAGAGGAACCCAAAAGTCTTTCATCATTTTGACAAATCCCAAAGACATACATTTTATTGGCATATATTCTGCGTAGGTTTCTGCATGACCCATTTCTTCTTCATCTTCCTCCTCTGGTTCATCTTCCTCTTTCACAACAGGGACCTTCTGTAACATAGAGCATGATCAGAGACTGGAGGTCCAGCCAACACACAGGAAAACTCCTCTGTAGGAATACTAGCAATCTTCAGTCTTGGAAACATGACATTCCTCTTCTATGTTCCCTCAAAGCTGGATCATACTTTGGTTCTTCCGTGCTTCTCTGATGAGCAAAGATAATCCATGCCCTACTCTCAGCTCTAACACACTGCTGGGTCACCTCAGGGCTCCACCTTCCTTCCAGTCACTACCTCTCAAACTACTTTCCCCTTTGCCTACCACCCTCCCTGATGCCCGGAACTCTTTCTAACCTCAGTCCTTGTCAGTTCCAGGAAGAGAAGGACCAAAAGGCTTAGGAAGGAAGGTGGATGAGCCCCAGCAGCTCATCCTACAACATCAATGGCAGAAACCACTGAAGCCACACATCCCACCCTCATTTTAGTGAACCTTCACATCACCTGTCTTCTCTCCCTCGGACATTGAAACTAAAACCCCAGAAAACTCTGGATTTAAAGGTTCTTCTGAAGGACGGAGCATTTACTTCAGACATCTGTGTCTCCACAAACACAACAATCACATATAAGAAAGCCATATCACTTACTCTCTAATCCTTGGCACACGTGAAAATGAAATGGGGAGCTATTAGTTAAGTACACCAGGAAAACTAGAATAAAGCCAGACTGTCCTATAGACAACTTGTGCGAATGGTTACCAATCACATGTTCCTTTTTTTCTTCACAGAATCTTAAAGGAGGAGCGGTAGGGAGAAATAGGGGAATAGAAAGCCCCTGAACAAGCCTCTTTTCACTACAAGTAAACCAACACCAAAGATATTTATTAATGTGCTTGTTCAAGAAAGACTACAGAGAAAAATCTGTGAAATCCAGTATATCCAGAAAAGGAGGGGGAAAAAAAAAGAGAGAGAGAGAAGCCAGTCAGGGCCTACAGGCAACGCCAAGGATAACAAAACTTTGAAAGGTAAGGGCAGGCTCTTCGATTTCTTTTTATTTTGTCTGGAGTTATGATGGCAAACAGATGCTCAATAAAAGTGGGAAGGAAGAGGGAGATGGTAGATAAACATCCAATCAACATCAATCCATGGAATCCTTAGGAAAAAAATCCAAAAAAGTTCCGAATGTTCTTAGAAAGTATGCCAAAATAAAACTCAATTTGAGAAACCGGAGACAAAGTGGGGTTGGCAAGGAAACACATACAAATCCTCATTCTACTGTTAATTTGTGTGGCCTTGCTTAAATCACTTAAATTCTGTGTCTTCCCCATCCCACCTTCAGCCCTTTCCCCACGTTATCAAATAAGACTAGGGGACCTGGGGAGCTCAGTGGGTTGGGCTTCCGACTTCAGGTCATGATCTCCCAGTTCATGAGTTCAAGCCCCATATCGGGCTCTCTGCTGTCAGTGCAGAGCCCGCTTCAGATCCTGTCCTCCTCTCTCAGCTCCTCCCCCACTCATGCTCTCTCTCCCAAAAATAAATAAAACACAAAACATTAAAAAAAAAAAAAATGCATACTATGCTAAATGACCAGCCTCCTTCCCCCTCCCTCTATCTTATCTTCCCTTAACTGAATTAAAAAAAAAAAAAAATCACCGAGAGTGTTAACTGGAAGATAAGCTGGTCTACTGTCTGGTCACAAAATCCAGGGACACACAGGTAAATTTCAAAGCCAATAAAAAGGCAACTGAGGGTCCCCAAGCTTCAGGTCAAGGAGATAAATGAGGGGGAGTGGGGAGACTGTGGTACCTGCGGAACGCCCACCCAACACACAAAGTCCACGTTCCTACTCAGCCAGAAGCCTGTTCAGGTGGGAATGTGGGCCCACGGTCGTCAGGTACTCCTGTTTTTCAGGAGAACCTGGAAATCAGAGGATTTTTATGTGGTAGCAACAAATTCAATTTTTTTCAAAATACTGTGGAGTCCCACCCAACAAAACACATTTGGTCAACTGGCTTTGGTCCACAGTCTACCAGTTTGTGATCTCTGCTAGAGATATAGATTTTTTTTTTTTTAAAGTAAGCTCTATGCCCAACGTGGGGCCAGAACTCAAGACCTCAAGATCAAGAGTCACATGCTCCACTGACTGAACCAGTCAGGTGCCCGTTAGATGTTTCTTTCTTTCTTTTTTTTTTTTTTTTTAAAGTTTATTGGTTTTGAGGGAGAGAGAGAGAGGGAGGGACGGAGGGAGGGAGAGAATGAGTAGGATAGGGGCAGAGAGAGAGAGAGAGAGAGAGAGAGAGAGAGAGAGAGAATTCCAAGCAAGCTCCACGCTGTCAGCACAGAGCCCGACGTGGAGCTTGAACCCACAAACTGTGGGATCATGACCTGAGCCAAAGCTGGATGCTCAACCAACTGAGCCACCCAGGTGCCCCTCTTTTTTTTTAATATTTTTTTTTTAATTTTTTTTTTCAACGTTTTTTATTTATTTTTGGGACAGAGAGAAACAGAGCATGAACGGGGGAGGGGCAGAGAGAGAGGGAGACACAGAATCGGAAACAGGCTCCAGGCTCTGAGCCATCAGCCCAGAGCCTGACGCGGGGCTCGAACTCACGGACCGCGAGATCGTGACCTGGCTGAAGTCGGACGCTTAACCGACTGCGCCACCCAGGCGCCCCAATATTTATTTTTGAGAGAGAGAGAAAAAGCACGAGAGGGGGAGGGGCAGAGAGAGAAGGAGACAGAGTATCTGAAGCGTGCTCTGTGCAGAGAGCCCCATGCAGGGCTTGAACTCACGAATCGAGAGATCATGACCTGAGCTGAAGCCACCCAGGCACTCCCTGTTAGAGGTTTCTTAACTGCAAGGACAACAAAGAACTTCTGGCATATTATGGGCAAACATAAGCTGAACTGGGAACCTGAGTACTACATACATTTTTTAAAGAAAAACGCAATCTCGGGGTACCTAGGTGGCTCAGTTGGTTAAGTGTCAGACTTGGGTTGTCATGATCTCATGGTTCATGAGTTCGAGCCATGCACGGGGCTGTCTGCTGTCAGAACAGAGTCTGCTTGGGATCTTCTGTCCCCCATTCTCTGCCCCTCCCTGGCTGGTTCTCTCTCTCTCAAAAATAAACTTAAAAAAAAATTAAAAAAAGAAAAACGCAATTGTATTTTCTAAAAATCAACTTCCATGTAAGTTGCTGGCACACAACTATTAAGTAAACTGGGTCCGGCCAGCATTCACTCTCCTAGTCCCTATTCAAAACCTCGGGCACAGACGGCTGCGCTGTGTCTCCAGTTCCTTATTCCGTCCCCAAGTCTTAGCAATCCTCTGGTATTGTTACATGTTTTCCTTTTTTTCTTCCCTCTCACCTTGTTCCAATCACTCTCTTTGTAGTCCCCCAAGTTTAATTTCTAATACTTCCTTCTGGAGTACTTAACCAAAGGGTCTTCCCCCCACCAACCCATCCTGAGTCACTAACAGGATCCTCCACTTCTAGTGGCCCCGACTGGTGCTGCACCAAGTCCAAATCTTTCAAACTCAACTCAGAACCCTCCAAAGTGCCAAATCCAACTATTCGAACTTCCTCATGGCTTACGGTCACCTAAACATATAGCTGTCTCCTCTGTGCCAGTGCATTAGCTCCCTTCCTAAAATGCCCTCCTACAGTCTCTCCAAACTCAACACCCAATCTCCATTATATCTCTGCCACAAAATGAAATCTTCTCAGGCCACGTGAGTCCAGGGAGACCTCCTCTTCCTCCAAAGTCATAACCCTAATTGTGACTGTCCAATGTACTTTTTGCTGTACCTTCTATTACTACTTACACCATGTGCTTGTCAAATTGTGTGATTATGGAAGGGGGAACCATGTAGTATACCTCGTGTACAAACCCACCACACACATGCAGTGTTATACACAGCAATGAAATAAATGTACAGAATTAATTAACCCAAAACATACAACATTTCCAAACTATAAGGAAAAAAATTACTTGTAACTAGAACATTACATGATCTGACAGCTCAGAACTAGCTATACATGCAAGTTCAATCCTAAAATGGACAGTTATCAAACACTTTTGGTTAACTCACATTGTCTTTGTCTACCAGATGAGATCCACACAAAAAGGATGTGAGTACCGCGTGTAATACTACACCCTATCAAATACGCAAGTTATTATCACCTTGGTCAGTATGTTAGTTTACTTCAGTGAGATTTAATGCTTACTCATTAGTTTATGCAGTTGAGTAGCCCCCCTTCACCCCAAAAAAGTTTTCTGAGGGTTGTTTTAGAGTACTTTTAGCCAAGTGTACTTCCATAACACAATACAGATACAGCTTTTAAAACTCACCATGGTTGGGGAAAAACTCCTCATTTTCATGTCGTTTATCCATATTCTCGCTACTTCTTTATTAGAAGACTCCTTCTTTACCGTACCATTGCTTACATCAGCTGAGGGGGAGAGTCATTACATTTTAGAACGATTTCTGAATTTCTTTTCCAACAGTTTTTTAAAAACTCAGTAGTTTACCCACTTCACAAATGAAAAAATACCGATCTGCTTATCACTACCTTAAATTAAGCATAAGGATAAAAACATGCAAGGCAATGTGTTATCGTGGAGGTAAGAATTAACCTTAGAAAACAAGTTACCTTAAACGGATATGCGTGTACAGGAAACCTGAAAACTATCAAAAAGACACCTTAATCAGAATATTTGATAGTTTCTTTCAACACAAACACCAAAAGCTAGCATTACTTTGGGACACTTCACTTGGTTCATCAAAAAACCCCACAAAACTTGGTATTATCACCAAGACAGAATCAATCTCACCTGAGTTGATGATACTTGCTTTCAAGGCAAAATAATTCTTTCTTGGAAGCAAAAAAGAAAAAAATTTGGAAATTCTACATTCCTCCTCTCCTCAAAGATCCGAACAATGAATTTTTTCTTCTTCTATACCAGTGGTTTGCAAACTCTTTTTACACACAGCAAGAGAACTGAATCCTTCAATTTGAGTACTAGGCCAAGGAGAACTTCTTGACTGAGGAGTCTAGAGCCCCGTAACCAGCCTACATCCCTGAAGTGCTCGCTTCAGGTACCTGGGATCCTTGAGACCACAGTGTGACAATCACACCAGGAGCACTGACCGGATCTGATCTATTCTACCAAAAGATAGGGAGTGTTTGGAGGCCTGTCACTTGGGACTCCAAAATAACAAAGTGTTAACAAAATAAGGAGGTCAGAACAGAGATAACGGATTTATCTGTTTAATGTAACTGTGGGAGAGCCAGTGAACAGTTCACAGAGTTACAGAAGCGGACTCAGAACCCAGAGACCCAAAGAGCTCATGGCTCCAAAAGGCGCAACACCCATAGCTAAGTGAGGGAGGAACATGCAAAATCTTGCTCTTTGCAGTTGCATACTTTTATTGTTCTTCCCCTTTAGTAAAAAGATGATCCTCTGCTACAACACAAAAGTATGCTTATCTTCGGCATTCACTTACATGTTTCTTTTTCAGCCCTGGTCTAGTCTGACGGTTTCTCAGGCTTCCACACAAAGATGGCCTTGATTTGTACTCTTTTGTCTTTTTAAAATTACTCCACTGGATGTGGTAGATGTTACTGTACTTACTAAGTATTACTGGATCAGCTCCAAACCTATCCTGTTTTGTTTTGCTTTCTGAACTTCCCTCACAATAACACAGTCTTCTTTACATTATGAGGACATGTGCTCTGAGGGGTAGAATGCTCAGAAAGCCACTCAAAAAAGCAGCAGTATTTCCTCAAACCCAAAAACTTTTAATGGAAGTTGCTTCCAAAACTGATCACCCCACCCCACCCCTAAGTCTCCCAAGAGCCATCCCAGATGCTGCCCTGCACACCAGCCAGGTCAGGGCCACGGTCCTGCTCTCCATGGCAGAAAATAAAAATCTGTCCTAAGGCAGCTAAAATTATTTTTCAGTTGGCATCTAGCTGCCAGGCTGCAGTTAGTTCAGGACAATGACCTTGAGTAAACTATAACCATAAAGCCACAATGGTATGGATTCAAAGAAAAGATTAAATAATTTGATATTTTTAATACATCTCTCACTGGAGACAAAGTTAGTTCTACATCGCGCTAGAAACACTTTTTGACCACTGCTTTCGAACGCCCCAGCCTTCTTCTTTATAAACATAAGCACAACTTCCAAGCAGTCAATTCTGTCCCTAAATTACATATTGGTCTATATCAGGTATTAGAACTTATTTATTTCCCACAATTAGAAATACAAATACATTTTTCCTTTGGAAAAAGGAACTGTACAATACCTATCACCTCATTCCAAAACCCTAATAAAATGCTATTTATGTGCCAGTATAAATCATCAGGAACCTCCATTCTATCTCCTTAATCCAAACATACAATAATCCCAAAGAAATCTACTTTAAAAAAAGGCACCAATTCCTATGCTAAAACTATACAATAGTGGTCAGCTCAGACTATGACTGAGGTCAGTTACCGTTTCCAACAGTGCCTGCCATGGTACTGTTACATAAAAGGCACTCAAATAGGGGCGCCTGGGTGGCTCAGTCGGTTAAGCGGCCGACTTCGGCTCAGGTCATGATCTTGTAGTTCGTGAGTTCGAGCCCCGCGTCGGGCTCTGTGCTGACAGCTCAGAGCCTGGAGCCTGTTTCAGATTCTGTGTCTCCCTCTCTCTGACCCTCCCCCGTTCATGCTCTGTCTCTCTCTGTCTCAAAACTAAATAAACGTTAAAAAATAAAAATTAAAAAAAAAAATAAATAAACAAAAAAGGCACTCAAATATATTTCAGCAGAATGTAGAGGGAAGGAAAGAATATCCCTCTTAAGAGTTCACATTTTTCAGTTTCTAAAACTATACTACTAAAATATGACATTGCTAAAATTTTTAAAAACACCAATTAATTCTATTTTACCCTTAAAAATTACCTCAATACACTAAACACGAAGCTTCCTCTGAACGTTCCACTTAAAACTGTAACCTCTTCCTGCCCTGTACCCCATTTTCTATTTCTTTCCACAGAGCTTGTCCGTATCAGACGTACTGTATAACTTATTTTGTTTATTGTCTGCATCTCTCCACTAGGATGCAAGCTCCATGAGAGCAGAGATTCCAACAGTTTTTCTCCCAGCCATAGCCTCAAAACCCCAGAACAGTACTTGGCATATAGAAGGCACTCAATAAATATTTGTTGAATAAATGAGCAACAACAAACTCCAAAGAAAAACTACAAAATCTATATTCTTTATGCATAAACAAACTCTTTAAAAATGCAATCAAACCACTGTGGAACTTTTTCCCGTTAAACCCTATCCTTAAGGTATTATGGATTAGCTAGTAGTGATGGTTTAACAACTGTGAATATACTATAATCTACTCAACCATATACTTTAAAAAGGTAAAAATTATCGTATGCACGTTATATTTCAATAAAGCTGTTTTTTTAGAAAGTTATTATATGGGTGCTCATTCTTCAAAAAAAATGCAGTAAATTATTTTATAATGAAAACATGTGTATTTTAAAAGGGAATTTTTACTAAATACACGACTATCCACAAGCAATGAAGCCAGTGACAGGCAAAATCATAAAGCTGTAAAAGTCACAGTAAAGCAGTAAAGTATCAGTTTAAAGCCAGTTACCTCACACATGGTCCAAGGACCACCAGCAATAACACCTCCAAAAAGCTTGTTAGAAAAATGCAGAATCTTGGGCCCCACCCAGACCTACTGAATCTGATTCTGGCTGTGAACAAGATCACATAAAGTTTGAGAAGCACAGATTTAAAGGACCAAGAAAGTGTTAACCAGTTATTCCCAGTATATAAAACCAGTATCTCATGGTGTTAATGATTGTAGCCACCTGGAAATTTCGTATTTTACTTCAAGGTAAATGCTAAGGCTTCTAAATTTCTTCTTCCTTTGTACTGTATAAATACTGTAATTGTACGGAGTCATGCAGACATCTCCTTCCTGCCCAGTTCTTTTAAGACCCAAGCAAACCCTTAAAAACACACTGACCTATCTTACCTCAGGGAGACAGGTGACACCATAGAAAATAGAAAGACTTACTAGCTGCTGTTGCAACTGGCTGAGCGATATTAGCTGGTGGCTTCAGTTTCATGAGTTCGTTCAGACTATTATTTTTTAGTAGATCCTTCAGCTGAACCTGGTCTTTTGAGGGTGCAGAGGTCATGGCATTTCGTACTGCTGGTGCTGAGACTGAAGGGCGTGTGTTTGCAGTAGTCTGGATAAACTTTGTTAATGTGATGGTCTGCCTATTCGTTGTTACAGGCGGTGTTTTAGTCATTACAATTGTAGATCCCAAGGTCGGAAGCTGATTTATTTGATTCAGCACAAATGTTGTAGTAGATGGAGGCTGCTGCTATAAAAGAAAACCATAACACATCAGACCACTGAGAAGTACTTTACTCTCTAACACAGCCTAGATCCACACACATGGAAGGCCATTTAAAAATCTAAAACTAGGGGCTCAGTCAGTTGAGTGTCTGACTCTTGATTTCGGCTCAGGTCACGATCCCAGAGTCATGGGATCGAGCCTGGTGTCTGCATGGAACCTGCTTGAGATTCTCTTTCTCCCTCTGCCCCCTCCCCTTCCTCACTCCCTCTCTAAAATTTAAAAAAAAAAAAAAAAAAAAAAAAATGGGGGGGCACCTGAGTGGCTCACTCAGTTAAGCATCCAACACTTGGTTTGGTTCAGGTCATGATCTCATGGTTTGTGGATTCAAGCCGCGCACTGGGCTCTGTGAACGTGCTTGGGATTCTCGCTCTGTGTCCCTTCCCTGCTCCCATGCATGCACATGTATGGGCTCTCTCACTCTCTCAAAATAAATAAACATTTAAAAGTTAATAATAAAAAAATAAAATTTAAAACTGACTTTCTTACCAAACTACTGGTGCTGTATTTTTAATTAAATATGCCTAACTATAAACTACCAAGTTAAAACACACCATTTTGAGGGGGAAAAAAAAGGTATAGTAGTAGTGTGACATTTTCTGTAACTGTCAGGGGCAGCAAGCATAAAATAGGACTATCCCAAGCAAGCTGTGATGTATTGCAACCCTATAATACAAGGGCTAGGAAGAGAAAGTATTTCTAATCCCAGCACTGCCTCAACTAGGTCAATAACCTTAAGCAAATCACTTCACCCCTGGAGGCCCAGGCTCTCTGAAGTCCATTTTCCATTTCTAACATTCTGTGATTCTTATACAATGTTTGCTATCATACAGACTATACCAACATTTAGAACTTAAAAGAGAAAACTACCAAGCAGCATTTTTTTTTTTTGAAGATTTTACTTTTAAGTAATCTCTGCACCCAATGTGTGACTTGATCTCATGACCCCGAGATCAAGAGTCCTATGCTCTATTGACTGAGCCAGCCAGGCAACCCCAAGCAACATTTTAAGTACCTATCTTGCATGAATGATCCAGGGAATCCACCAATATCATCAATATCAAACATTGGTGATAATACAGGTACTACCTTTGAGCCTAAGAAAAACCATATAGCATTTTGTTTTTTATAGTTGAGGGGTGGGGAGGGGACATTAGAAGCTGGACAAAAATGCAGGAAAAAAAAGTCAAAGATTTGAGAATGATAAAATATCTGTGATCTTAAACGACTGAAGTACAACTGAGTATTTTTATAAATTTCAGTCTATTTCTACTTCCTTCCCTCTTCAAAGTATTTGGTATTTTTCCATGACTCCTATAATAAGAATTTTGTAGGCTGCCACTTATCCCCCCTTTTTTAAAGCAGGGAACTCTTTTAAAGATTTAAGTAATCTCTACACACAATATGGGGATCAAACTCACAACCCTCACATGCTCTTCCAACTGAGCCAACCAGGCGTCCCACCACTTACCACTTTCAAATAAAACCCTCAACAATAATTTATCATAATTATCAAATTTTTAACTAGGATGTCCTTTACACCACTAGGCTTAAGTTCATAAATGCTATGTTTAAGGTAAACTCTGTATTTAAAGCACAATTATGATCACATAATGGACAAAAGCTGAAATAAACAAGGAAAAATTAAGTGCAGTGGGTTAATGTGTAGTTCACAAATTTTATATCATTTACAATGAGTAAATTCAAAAAATTTTGTTTTGTCCTAATTGTCTTTTGATCAACATAGCTACCAGAAGAATGAAAGCATTATTTTAGCAAGTAGGATGTGAGAGTAGCATATTGGAAAGCAGCAAAAAGCAGAACTAGTAAGATAAAAATGACTTCATATTATAGGTTATTTTCTGACTATGATCCTAAACCATTTTAGTAACAATGTCAAATGTAAATCGTTCTTACCCTAACATTTAACAGTGCTGGAGTAGGTACTGTCTCTTGTTCTGGTTTAACAGGAACTGCTGCTTCAGTCTCCAAACCCAATTCTAACGCACTAAGTGGCACTGACTGGAGAGAAAATAACATCAGAGAAAGAAATAAAATATGATGGGAGCGAACTGTTTTAAGACCCAAAGATGTATTCATTTTATTAAAACAACAAAAACAAAAAAGTTTTACCCTCAAAAAAATATGATACCAAGTATAAAGTAATAATCTTTCCAAGTACAACATCTTCACAAAATTATGCTAACACCAGAATCTTATTTTAACTTTCAGAGAAAGTATATAGTGAAACCTCAGAAGGTCCCCAAGAAGTACAAAGACAACTAGTAAGGAAATTAACAACCCTCCCACAAGAGCTCTAAATAATACGTCTCTCTTATATAAATATGTATGTATATCAGAGCAGAAAATGTCTTAATTTTTCACTGCAAAAATGTCCCTCTCATGAATGAAGACTAATAACATAAAAATAACATGCACATGCATATTTAAAATTATGTCTTGGGGCGCCTGGGTGTCTCAGTCCGTTGAGTGTCCGACTTGGGCTCAGGTTACGATCTCATGGCTCAGTTAGCGGGTTTGATCCCTGCATCAGGCTCCCAGAACCCACTTAGGATCCTCTGTCTCCCTCTCTCTCTGCCCCTCCCTAACCCACTTACACACGTGCACTCTCTCAAAAATAAACATTAAAAAAATTTTTTAATGTATCTTAATACCTATTTCTGTAAGGAGAAATGAAATTTAAGCAGTCTACTTTTTACAGAGGCTTTGGAAAACTCTTACCTGCTGAACTGGAGGAGTAGGTGTTGGAGTTGCAAGCCCTGCATCTCCACCATCAATATCAAAGAGGTCATTCGGACTAATTCCACTCTCACTCAAAGCAGCAAGCAGTAAATCTTGCCCTGGCTCCACCATCTTTAGAACAAAAGATTTAATGTTAACATAAAAAACTTAAAATGACAATTAACTCTCTTCTAAATATAAATGAACATTTTCTACTAGATCCATTCACTTGATATTTATGAAGAACCTGTTACATATCAAGTAAGAACGACTAACGAGAAATAGTCTCTGATTCCAAAAAATTCACAAGATGGAAAGGACAGAGAAATATGTAAAACACAGCAAGAGTATTTGTGTACAAAATGCGGTGGGAACAGAAAAGGAATGTTAAACTTGGCCTGGGGAGAGAGAGGGGACAAAGATGACCGGGAACTACTGAGTCTCAAGGAAGAAATCACCAGGTGCGGAAGCATCTTCTGCACGGTGCATTAAAATTATGGAGGCATGAAAGACATTAGTACTTTAAGAACAACGTTTATGAGTAATTTACCATTGGTACGGAAGCTCAGAACAGAAATCCAAGGCTCAGATAGGTGATGACGAGAGATGAGCAAAATGTCACCCACAACCTTCTATACAATGCTAGAGAGTTCACTTAATCTCGTGGGTGGTGGGGGTCACTGAAGAGTTATCAGATAGAAGACTGCAGAACACAGTCAGATTTGTGACAGGTTACTCCACAGAAGTATGGAAGCAAACTGAGAATGGGTAGAATAAGACCAGAAGCAGAGAGACATTTTAGGAAACCACTACACACACCAAGAGAGAGATGATGTGCTATAATAACAGAGTGTGGAAAGAAGGGGGGATGGATTCCAAGATATTCAGGAAGGACAATCCATAAGGCTAAGTTTATACAGAAGCTCTTAAGATCAAAGAAAATGTGAAATACACAAAAAGCATGAATTGATGGACGATTAGAGATAAGCCAACACAAAGTGAAAAAATAAGCATTGAGTACAGGAGACCCAAAAAGGAGTTATATGGTTTAGTAGGGGAAAATGAAGCAAGCAAATACATTTCAGGTTTGGGTTTTCCAACTGTACTCTAAGGAACCAATGTACTTTGATCCAATGTATCAAAGTAATTTAGCACCAAAACAGATTTTTATCCATTTTGTAGAGGGAAAAAAACAACTTTCTCAATTTTTAACTTTTGTCATTATCTGAAATAACCAATTTACATACATAAACACGGAAAAAAAATGACTGTACTTATTTTTCTCAAAACACTAATTTCATGTTACATAAATATACTAATTTTCAGCTAGCTCATTTGTTCTCAGGCTGTGTGACAGAATTAAATGCCAGTGTTTTCATTATGTCCTACTAAAAGAAAGGTGTTAGTCACCATGACCATGACTTCCAATGTGCAGAAATACTGTTTCAAATGAAAGCAAGATACTTAACAGAAAAATCCTCTACTAGGTAGGCCTATGTCACAGGAGCCTAAGTATCAATTAGAAAGAAGTTCTAACAGAAACATGAATGAGTTTAAGATAGAAACCACAGATACCCAGAAATGAAACTAACGGCAGACTGTTTAAAGAGGGTCTTAAACAGCCCCAAGGAAGAAGAGATAAGCCGAATGAGATTCCCCCAAAATTTTTCAGAAAAAGGAAAAGAAGTCTTTGGAATACATTTTGAGCAGGAAGAAGGACAGAAAAGAAATTGACAACTAAGTATCTTTTACAAAGCTCACAGTGTTAGGCTCTTCATGTACACTATGAGCCCACAACAACCCCGAAAAAGGTAGGTATTATAATTCCAGAGATGAAACTGAGGCGCATAAAGCTTATATTACCTACACCTACCCAGATCTAGACTGTTCAAACTCCCAAAGCCCATGCATTCTCTTTCCAATGAATAGATCAAGAAGTCAATGTTGCTAACCTAAGAAGTTTCAATACTTAACTTTGGAATAAATGCCAGTTTGAGATTAAAATCAGAAGGAAGACAGATTATTGCACAGCAAGATGGAAACGGTATGAAGGGAATGAACAGAGGAGACAAATAGGAGAAACGTCCCAATGAAGATGTAAAATAAATAGCTGACCATATTTTACAAACTAATCCTAGTAATGTAGTACAAACAGGTACTGAGAGCTAAGCCAATGCTTTAGAAACATTTTCAGGGTCGCTCATGTGGCTCAGCCAGTTAAGTATCTGACTCTTGGTTTCGACTGAGGTCATGATCTCACGGTTCGTGGGTTCAAGCCCCACATCCAGCTCTATGCTGACGACACAGAACCTACTTGAGATTCTCTCTCCTTCACTCTGTACCTACCCTGCTCACTCGAAGTAAATAAACACTTAAAAATAAAAAATAAATAAAAACATTTTCAATCCACAAAATACTTCACTAAGACCAGTGACCTGGGGGAATGTGTGGTGGTCCTGGTCTGCTTGCTATGACTAATCCTGATCTAGATTGATTGATAAAACTCCAGAAACTATCAAAATGTCATCTTTTTAAAGTCAATATTAGAGGGGCGCCTGGGTGGCGCAGTCGGTTAAGCGGCCGACTTCAGCCAGGTCACGATCTCGCGGTCCGTGAGTTCGAGCCCCGCGTCGGGCTCTGGGCTGATGGCTCGGAGCCTGGAGCCTGTTTCCGATTCTGTGTCTCCCTCTCTCTCTGCCCCTCCCCCGTTCATGCTGTCTCTCTCTGTCCCAAAAATAAATAAAAAACGTTGAAAAAAAAATTTAAAAAAAATAAAAAAAAATAAAGTCAATATTAGAAATAATGATTTACTTACATTTGAAATAAAAATACATTGTTTTGGGGCGCCTGGGTGGCTCAGTCGGTTAAGCCGCCGACTTCAGCTCAGGTCACAATCTCGTGGTCCGTGAGTTCGAGCCCCGTGTCAGGCTCTGGGCTGACAGCTCAGAGCCTGGAGCCTGCTTCAGATTCTGTGTCTCCCTCTCTCTCTGCCCCTCCCCCGTTCATGCTCTGTCTCTCTCTGTCTCAAAAATAAATAAAACGTTTAAAAAAAAACATTGTTTTGAACCAGTGACACCTAAACTACAGACCAAAGAACGCTTGGGAGGCCAAGGGATCCATTAATCCACTAGAGGCACGCCAAGCCCTACCTAATTATACTAAAAAGTATAAAAACATCATTAATGAAAAAAAAAATCATTGAAAAGCATTACTAAATTCATGAGAGGCTTTTGAAACATATTTTCTGAACAGTGAGAATTGAAAGTACAAAAATATTATCAGGGAAGGGAAAAATTTGGGAAAAACTTGGTATTTTTACAAGAAATAACAGCTCAGTTATAAATAACACTCAATGACCTACTGCAAATTCATTCACAGGAATAACAATTCGAGACCTCTAACCTCAGTAGTGACTTAGTAACGACAATGACTTTTACAAGCTGTTAATGAAGGAGATTTTAGATTTATATACATCTTACACACAAAATCTAGGGATCCTTTTTTTTTTTTTTTTTTTAATGTGTATTTCTGAAAGAGAGACAGAGCATGATGGGGAAGGGGCACTCAGAATCCGAAGACACAGAATCCGAAGCAGGCTCCAGGCTCTGAGCTGTCAGCACAGAGCCTGATGTGGGGCTCGAACCCACAAGCCATGAGATCATGACCTGAGCCCAAGTAGGACACCCAACTGACTGAGCCACCCAGGCCCCCCTAGGGATCCTTTCTTAGTCAACTGTGCACAAATTCTTTACTTGCACTTTTTTGCAGTGAAAAGGGGGGAAAGGGATATGGAGGAACATCTAGTGCCATTAGGCAATACTCTTAATATTTAATTTTCCTATTCTGAAACTATTACAGACTCACAGAATTTCAGTGTTCAGGCGAAGAGAGCTCTTAAAAAGGTTATATTATTCAATCGTCTCCTCACCTTACGAATAAGATTTATTGAGAGGAAAAACAACAATTTTACTTTGAACCCTTTAAATGCAATATAAATGCAAATACTGTTAGATAGATATAAGAGAACTGTGTTACAGTGTATCTAACAAAGGATTTCGTAGCCCTTAGGTGAAGTTTAACATGTAGCAATGTTTAAACAAACCCCAAAATTGCTAACCTCAGAGTGACTCTATCTGAAACAACGAACAAAAGGTTCCATTTCTATCATAAATAAACACATTCAAAAATACCACCTATTTCAAAATAGTACACCTATGAAAGCATGTACGATAAATAAGAAACAAGGACACAGTAGTAGAAATGAAGAGCCATCCTTGGCAAGAAGAGAATCCTGAGAAACAAGTGCCAATCAGAAGAATGCAAGGGTACAGTTCCCACTGAGAATACCAACACTGAAACCTATCAACCAGGACAAGATTGCTCTTGTTGAGACCTAAAGCAGATCTTTATAGCTCTGGGCAGATACAAGGGGTCTATCTGTAGCAGTGGCAAGTGTGCAGACGATGGGGTCAAACAATATCTGGGTTCAAATCCTGGCCACATCATCCACTAGTAGTATAATACAGTCAAATAATAACTTATGTGATCAAGTAATAACTTGTTTCCTCAAATGGGAATAAAAACAGAACCTATTTTACAGGATTGCTGTTACATAAATGTTACATTACTAGCTATTAAATATCATTTGGATAAATATTAGTATCACGTCAAAAATACAGGTTTTCTTCCACATCACTGATCCAACGCTTTTTTCCCTAAAATACAACTTTACTTGTGGGCAATCTATTCAATAACTTCCACATTAGTTCTATAAAATACGAGTTCCTTTTTACCTATAAGTGTCAGATATTCAATTTGTCCAGCTAACCAGTTAGGTTGCCTAGAGGAGACTGGTAGACCTCTTTATGTAAAGCAAGTATCTTTCTTTGCCTGAACCAATAACAGGACTTTTTCTCCTTAACAACGCTAAGTATGTCTGCCTTTTAACTCCGCTTCAACTTTGCTTTTACAAAGCCCACACGTAACGAATGACATTTAGTTTAAGAAGTTGAAGGATAATGATCCACTCAGAATTTAGCTAATATAATCTATGAACAAGGTATTTATTCAGTGTCTACTGAATGCAATTCCTTAATTAAGAACATCAGGAGAGGGGCACCTGGGTGGCTCCGTTGGTTAAGTGTCCAACTCTTGGTTTCAGCTCAGGTCATGATCTCATGTTTTGTGAGTTCAAAGCCCCACATCAGGCTCTGCGCTGACAGTGGGGAGCCTTGCTTGGGATTCTCTCTCCATCCCTTTCATGCATGCATACTCTCTCGCTCTCTCTTCCTCTCTCAAAATAAATAAATGAAACTAACAACAACAAAAAAAGAACATCACGAGATATAAAAAATATAAAAAATTCATTAACAAGGATTTTCATTACCTTGAGGAATATAATTTGTATTTTTTTTTTAATTTTTTTTTTCAACGTTTATTTATTTTGGGGACAGAGAGAGACAGAGCATGAACGGGGGAGGGGCAGAGAGAGAGGGAGACACAGAATTGGAAACAGGCTCCAGGCTCCGAGCCATCAGCCCAGAGCCCGACGCGGGGCTCGAACTCAGGGACCGCGAGATCGTGACCTGGCTGAAGTCGGACGCTTAACTGACTGCGCCACCCAGGCGCCCCATATAATTTGTATTTTTAAATAGCTATTTTTCAAGGGAGCAATTGCTCACTGAAGTTTGCCTCTTCCTGCTCTCACTACAAAACTTATAGGAAGAATGGATTCACAAAGGAATGTGCAGATAACAAAATTTCAAATATGCTTTACAAAAAAACACATGAAAGAATGGAGGGGGTGGGACAACTTTCTTGATTACCACCATCAAATCCAGATGGTTAGACACCTTGAGATTTACTACAGTGTTGATTTCTTTTCTCTTTTAACCCTCCAGATAACCCATGAATAAATATTACCTGTTATCCCTTTGTCACAGATAAAAACTGAGCCTTAGAGAGATGAACTGTAACAAGGTAACAACAAAGCAAGCATGGAGCAGAATTAGAAACCTAGGAGCTCTGACCCCACATCCCCCCAAGATACTGTACTCTTAACCCTAGAACATATTTTTCAATCTGCTGGTCACACCACAGTGTGTTGTGAAGTCAATTCAGTGTATCATGATCAGCATTCTTAAATATTTCAATACAGAACAGAAAACTAGCGCAGAGTGCGTAGAGAGGATAAACATTTCACGACATGACTTTTTCAGTTCCGTGTGTGCGTATATACTAGATCACAATGTAAAACATGTCATTATGTTTACACAACGTAAAAATACCACGGGATGCAGTAAAAAGGTTTCAAAATCACTACTCTGTACTATACACTGCCTCCCCAGAATTAAATAAGCAAGTTAACTTGATGGGTTTTGTACTGTACTCATAAAACCAGAGTTCCTGCTCTTCAAGAGCCTATCTTTCCATCTACACAAAATTTCAGTGGTATCCCAAGACTGTCCTAATAAGTTCAACGACATCAAAGTCAATCTTCAGCATAAAAAAAAAAAAAAAAAAAAAAAAGACAACTGCAAAAACTTTAGGATCCTATCATTTTGGTAACTACTTAGCTATTTCATGTAAAAGCAGCTCTTCTCAGAAAGTATCTTTACACTAATTTTAGGCAGACAAAGCAGGGGAACTGAGAGACTCATGAAGTCAGGGTACCTGCAAGACCAGATCTCAGATCCAAGCGTTCAGGACCTTCACAGGAGGCAAGTCTCAAATCAAAGCTCAATTTAGAAACTAAGAAACGCAGAAATGTATCTGCAGCCAGAGTCTTTGAGATGAATCATTTTAAAAAGCATGAAAGAATCTCCACACTGTCCGTTTTTAAGCAGTACGTAATTTCAGCAAAGCCCTTAAGTAAAACTGCCAGACACTTAACAGCATTCAATAAATGAATGAATGAATGGGACTGTCAGCCACCAACTAAGCCTCCCCTTCTGATACTTACCCACAAGCTAGAGTAAAATTCACTTAAAATTCTATAGACAACTGTGTGTAATTAAGTTAGCCTGCGGGACAAAAGAGCAGAAGCCAAAAGAATATAGATGTTTTTCCAGATAAAGGAAATTTTGGAAGCAGCTTCTTTAGACACGAAAATGAAACGTTCCCTTGCTCTCAAAATCACGGTCCCATGCAAGGCACCCATGCCAAACTCTGCATTTTGTCCTAGAAATTCTATACAAACTGTCTTTGGGGCAATGATCCTGGCTTTCCCCGCAGCTTACGGAAAAAAAATCACTTGATTGCCGTAAATATAGTGGGGGAAAGGAATCCCTTCGCACTGTTAGCTGGTTCCTGTCTCCGAGTCTATCTGCTCTAGGGCAACTCTGATTTGACAGCTTTCTAGACCTTCCTGGCCGACTCTGTACAAGCCCTACTTCGTCCCTAACCATGGCTGTCTAGAAAAAAAAAATACAAACCAACAACCATTTAACCCAACATCAACTGCTAATAATCAACTCTCAAAGGTCAAAGGGGACCCAGCTTTTAACCTTCCCTCAGCAACACGTGTTTAGTACAAACTTCCGGGTGCGGTTACAATTGGCTGCGCAATTCAATGGATAAAAACGTTGCTTTATTTGACTCTCATTTTCTTGGCCCTTCTTTCCCCACGTTTCTCAACCAGCGACTCCCCAAAACAAAAGCTTCCTACAGTAAACGGAGCCCGCACATAAAAAGGGCTTCTCTGTGCGAGGATCAAGTTAGTGGTCCGCAAACATTAACCAAACAGCAGCACAAAGCCGGGGTGGAAAGGGGAGGAGCTGGATGCCAGGGTCAGGAAAGAAACAATCACAAGGGTTCGGGCACATCCAAATCTCCTCAGCGGTTAAACCGATCCCAAACCACTTCAGGGAAACCACCAGCGAGCACTGGTTTGGGGAACTTTAGATGCTCGTTACGCCAAGCACTCTTAGAGCAAGCAAATCCGCAACCGCCTTTCTCTGCATAGATGCTTAGGGTCTGGGAGGCGAGCGAGCTGGACACAAAATTAACCTGATCGCTCGGTGAGGCTTGAAGGTGGCCCCCACGTGTCCCACGTACCGCTTCGACACCCTGAGAGCGACGTAATCAGAAAACTGCAGGTGTGGGGTCCAGATTTGGGGCGCTCCCATCGCCTCCCGCACTCGTCGTAAGCCGGGAGCAATCCTCCGACAGGAGGACTTTTGAAGGATTGCGGAGCTCACTTTCCTGCGGGTCCGGGACCTCGCAGTCCTCGAGTGGAGCGGGGAAAGCAAGGGGGGCGACCCAAGTAGAGTCGGAGCCGGAGTCCGCACACCTTGCCTCCCCGCCCAAACTGGGTGCCTCCGGCCCGGGACAGCGGGGCCCCCGGGGCCCGAGAGCCCCACGCGCAGCGACCGCAGGGCCCGGCGCTGACGGGCGGAGGAAGCGAGTGCGGCGGGGCGGCTGCTGCTGGGACCGTGCCCCCGAGAACCCTGGGGCGCGCAGCTGAGGGGGCGAAGAGGGGCGAGGGAGGCCCCAAGCCGGGGTGAGGTGGCTGCCCCCCCCCCCAGCCCGGCCCCACACGGCCCCCTGAGGAGGGTGGGAGTGGGAGGCTGGCTGTCCGGGAGGGGGAGTGTGGAAGCAGAAGAGAGCTAAGGAAAGGACTTACTTTCCCCGCGGGATCCGACGCCGGAACAGCTTCTCCCGGGTGGCGAGAGCTTGAAGAACTAGAGGCGACTGGAGCGGAGGCGGCGGTGGCGGCGGCAGCAGCGGCGTCCGGCTCTGCCTACCTCCCCGCCGCCATCTTGACGCCCCTCCCCCCGGCCCCCCCGCCCCGCCGGAGGGGAGGGGGTGGGGCGACGGATGAGGCGCCGCGCGCACGCAGCGCGCGCCGCGCGCCCCACGTGACTTCCTCCCTTTCCCCCCCCCCCACCCGCTCCCCAGCGCCCCCCTCCGCCCCGCCTCCCTCCTAGGTGAAGGAAGATGATTTCCCCCCCCCATCTTGACCGCCCCCTGCCTTCGCTGCCAAGCACGGACTCCGCCGGCCCCAGCCGACCCGGTACCAGTGGTTGGATCCAAGAGAATTCCGGAACCCAAACGGTCCTTTACCGCGTCTCCGGGGTGGGCGAGGGGTGAGGGGGCCGGGTTTCCGAGAAGGGGGAGGGGGGAAGGCGAAGGCCTCTTGGAAGAGTCACGTGTTTACTGCTTCCGCCGGCGCTCAAACACCTCGCGAGAAATCCGTTCCCCCTCCCTTTCTGCCCCGCGGGCCGTCGGGAGGAAGGTCCGCACTCTGGTTTTGCCACGAGGAGGTCAGCCGGTGGGCCGGGCGCATGCGTCCCACACCTGCTTTCAAAAGTCGGGCTAGGAGGGGCCCGAAGCTATTTTCAAAACCTTTTGGTGTGTGGCTTCGGCCCAGGAAGTTACCTAGTGGCGTCTCTATCACTTTGGAAAGCTCTTCATTACCCAGTCAATCCGAGAAAAAAATATTCGCTTATTCTTTGCTTGTTAGGCTCGCTCAAAGCACTTTATTCAATATGAAACCGCAGTATAACTCGGAGACCTTCGGCTGGTCCACTGTCATTATCATACCCTAAGGAGTGTGAGCAGAGTCAGCCCCATTTATTTTTTCTGAACTATTGCTCTTGATTAATGATTGCTGCAGAAAAGGTTTGTCGCCACCACCTCTCGCTTCCTTATTTTCTTCTCCTTCCCCTTATTCTTACCACTACTACTATTATTATTGTTCTTATTAAATGACCTGACAGAATAAACAAATTAACTTCTTGGTAACCCTTTTGTAAAGTCATTCTGAATGCTGTTTGACTGCGTTGCTTAGGTAATAGGCACGCCTGGGTGAGTCTTGCCCCCTACTGGCGGCGCATCCCGCTCGCCTTGGTTGAAAACCAAGTCCCCAAAACACTTGGAGGTTAAGGTGTGAGCTCCTCAGGAGAAAGTAGAGGGAAAGTGGGGAGAAAAAAAAGTAGTCATGGCCAGATGATTATGAATCTTCCAACTGGGCGTTTATATACATAAGTATGTGTCATATATATATATATATTCATATAAGTGAACATTTTAAATTGCTGACTAATTACTTTGCTTTCATTATTTCATTTCATCCTTACACACAAAGAAACCTGGTAAAGGTAAAAATGATAAAACTAGTCCCATAAGAACAAGGCCCTCATGTGTCCTGTTCACTGCTGGCCACTAGACTAGCCCTAGTTTATGGTCTAGTGTAGATGACACCAAACAAGCCATTACAAATCTGTCAAATTATGAAAAGACAAGGAAATGAAAGGAGAAAGGATGCAGAAAAAAAGTCTAAAACACTGTATTTAATGAATCAGTGTCTTCTGAGCATGGCTGGTACAATTTGGTTTCCAAATGGCCCTCAAACTCTAGCTGCAGGCTAGGACTAGGTAAATACTAGATTCCAAAAAGTGGAGGTCTGACCTAGAAACCCCCACCTTTAGAGATACTTTCTGAGCATCCAAGCCAGGTCCTTGCTGCCAGATCTGCATAATCTCCTTCTCTGGGACCAAAGTAAAAGATGGTATTTCAGGAGATATTGCAATATAACCGTGTATTTGCACACAATGTCACACACAAGGTTATTCACTGCAGCATTATTTGTAGAATCTAAAGATGGGAAACAAACTAAATGTCTTTAAGGAAAGGACTGGTTAACTGAACTGTGGTACTTTCCTACAGTGAAAAACAGTTGTTCAACAGAATGAAGCACCTCTATCTATGAGTATGTATAATAATACATTTTGCTTGCGTGTACGCATAGAGCATCTCAGAATGACAATGCAAGTAGCAGTTGTATCGGGATGGGAGTCAAGCTACTGAGGACCAGAAGCAGGAGGAAGACTTATTGGGTCCACCCAGAACAGAGATGCTATTGGAAGCAGCTAATTCAGAAACAAAACAAAACCCTGTTGAGGGATGGTATTGACTTCTCCATGGCTGTTAAAACTGCACTTCTCACTCCCTTCAACAAGTATTTATTGAGCCCTTACTATGGGCCAGCTACATTGTTAGAAATTAGGGGCACAAATGTAAGAAAACCAAATGAAGATAGAGACGGGGATGGTTCCTACCCATAGATTAATGTCCTTACAGTGTTGGGGCACCTGGGTGGCTCAGTCATTTAAGCGTCCAACTTTGGCTCAGGTCATGATCTCATGGTCTGTGGGTTCGAGCCCTGTGTTGGGCTCTGTGCTGATAGCTCAGGGCCTGGAGCCTGCTTCAGATCCTGTGTCTCCCTCTCTCTGTTCTTCCCCCGCTGGTACTCTGTCTCTCTCAAAAATAAATAATCATTGGGGCGCCTGGGTGGCGCAGTCGGTTAAGCATCCGACTTCAGCCAGGTCACGATCTCGCGGTCCGTGAGTTCGAGCCCCGCGTCAGGCTCTGGGCTGATGGCTCAGAGCCTGGAGCCTGTTTCCGATTCTGTGTCTCCCTCTCTCTCTGCCCCTCCCCCGTTCATGCTCTGTCTCTCTCTGTCCCCAAAATAAATAAACGTTGAAAAAAAATTTTTTTTAATAAATAATCATTAAAAAATTGTTTAATATCCCTACATTGTAGTGGGTGTTAATCCAAAAATTACACAAAATGTAAACTTGTAATTGTGACATTGTTACAAAGAAGCTAACAGCCTATTACAGAGGGATTTGACCTCACCAGAGGACTCAAAGGCTGCTTCCTTGAGGAAGTGGGAAAAGTAGGTATTAAGTGGGCAAAGAGAAGAGGGAACTGCATTTCAAGAAGAGGAAACAGCACATGCAAATGTCCTGAAACAGGTAGGAGCAAAGCAAGGAGAAGCGACAGTAACAAGGCAAGCGCACGGGTCATTAAGACAGACGTCTCTCAGCTCCAAGCCCAGGCTTCTCTGGTCTGTATCGTGATGCGCAAAACCACATTTCTGCTCTGCCAGCTGTTTCAGTGTTTGTTTCTGCAACAGGGAGTGCCAGAGGGAGACGACAAAGCTGGAGGAGGAGAAAGTTTCCTGTGAACGTCATCCCAACAACACTTCTTCACCCTAGCAGCTGCCTCTCCTTACTGTAGCAGCAGCTCTCCTCAGTGTCCCCCAGGCCTGTGAGATAGTCCCACCAAACCCTCCTCCCAGGGGGCGGTACCAGCAGGACCCTCCACTGGGCCACCCTGTAAGGTCTGAGATGCTGGCACCAGCTGAGCAGAGCCCCCTCCTTGGAGTTTAGGTCTGAGCAACACGGGTCCCCCTTTTGTGTTTCTAAGTTTAATGACACCAACCCCTTCCCTGCGTCCCCGTAGCCCAAGTGGTGGGAGCTGCTTCCTGCAGCTGGAGAGGTGATGTCTTAAAGTTCTCTTTTCACCCTTTCAGGTCACCTAGTTAACCAGCTTAGACCCAGTTAACAGTTCTTTACATTAATGGATCTCTATTCAAAACCCGGTGTAGTTTAGGCCTCCTGTCTGAACCTTGATTGACATAGCAAGTAACAGGGAATTATCAGTAGGATTATAAAAATAGATGAAGGTCATTCTCCAAGAGCATTTTGTAACTGAGTTTGGACTTTATTCTGTAGGCTACAGGGAGCTCAGAAGCCTGTTATGCAGAGAGCTGCCATGGTTGGCTAGACATTCTAGAATATCACTCTGGGAGCAGTGTAGCAGAGGGATCTAAGAACTGGGCTGCAGATATGAGGACTAGATAGATCGAGAGAAGATAAGAACAGAAGGTGATATGGAGCAAAATTCTGTTGAGCAAAAGAAGAGGTCCAGGTTCAAGAGATATTTAGGAGATAAAGCCAACGACACACAGCGGCTAGTTGAATAGGGGTTGTGAGGAGGGAGGAGTCTATAATGAAGCCTCAGTTTCTCTCTTCGGAACCTAGGTAGATAATAGTGCCACAAATGAAACTATGACCTCAGGAAGACAAACATGTGAAGAGGAAGACAATGAGTTTGGCTTTAGATAATGGGGAAAGTTTTGCTTATCTATTACTATGTAACAAACACCCCCAAACCTAATGACTTAACCACTATTTTGGTTTTTTCTCACGCTGCAAGCTGGGCTGGGCTCAGCCAGGATGCTGGAATAGCTGTATTTCTCTCTCTCCGTGTGGTCTCTCCAGTTGCCTCATGGTTCTTACATGGTGGCTCTGGGCTCCCAAAAACACAAAAGCAGAAGCTTACAGCCTCTCTTGAATTTTAGGCTTGCAACTGACCAAGTGATGTTTCCATCACATTCTGTCAATTAACAAGGCCGCACAAGATTCAATCAAGGAAAGACAACACAAGGGTATGAAGGGGTGGGAAGGGCTGACTGGCTCAGTTGGTAGAGCATGCAACTCTTGATCTTGGGTTGTGAGTTCAAACCCCACATTGGGTGTAGAGATTACTTGAAGATACAATAATCTTTTTTTTTTAAATGTTTATTTTGAGAGACAGCACACAAGTCGAGGAGAGGCAGAGAGAGAGAGAGAGAGAGAGAGAGAGAGAGAGAGAGAGAGAATTCCAAGCAGGTTCCATGCTCAGTGCAGAGCCCAATCCAATGCGGGGCTCAATCCTACAACTGTGAGATCATGACCTGAGCCAAAATCAAGAGTCAGACACTTAACCGACTGAGCCACCCAGGCGTCCCTAAAATAATCTTTAAAAAAATATAAACAGTAGGAGGTATTGTTCATTGGAGGCCATGAAAGTAAGTCTATCATGAGGAATTTTGAGGGGCCAATGGGACATCCAAGTGGAGAGGTCTAGCAAGCAGTTGGGAGTCTACAGCTTGAGGATCTAGATGGGGGTTAAAACATGAAGAAGGATAAAACTGTGCTAGAAAGA